GCTCTTCTGTCCCTGGGGACTCTCCAGGCAAGAATACTGGAGTGGGTTGCCCCGCCCTCCTCCAGGGGATCCTCCCAACCCAGGGATCAAACCCAGGTCTCCAGCACCGCAGGCGGATTCTTTACCGTCTGAGCACCAGGCAAGCAATAGTGCTTCCTAAATAGTAAATCCAGATGCTGAACCAGTCACCGTGAGGCTCAGCACAGCCCTGTGAGGGAGACAGTACCTTCCCCCCTTTCACAGACGAGGTGACTGAGGCCCAGAACACCAGCAGGATGCCTACACAGCTGGCTCACTCCATCCTGGCCCCACAGACTCTCTCATGGGCCCTCCTTCCGGGCTCTGAGCTGCAGGCGGCCGTGGCTCTGTCTGTGTGGTCCCTGCTGACCCTTCAACCCACTCTGCACTCAGGACACAAGACGGGTAGGTGCAGCTCCGTGAGGGGCAGGGGCACACCCTCTCCCCACCTTCTCCATGTGAGTGGACATACGTCCAACCCTGCGCCTATGTTTGGCAAAACTCACGGTCTGAGCTGAGCCTCAGGGTAAGTCAAGCGGTGGCCAAGGCCTGGAAAATCCCCTCCACTTCACTGATGAGAGCCTCAGGGAGGCTGTGTGCCTGGCTCAGGTCCCTGGCTGGGCCGGCAGTGGTGGGCAAGCCCCTCTCCCTTCTCCTGGCCCCCGTCAGCTCTCTCTGAGGGAGGGCGGGCTTGCTGCCAGGGGTAAATGATGCCAGGGGTATAGCTTAGAATGGGACTGGTATCTAGCATCTCATCTAATTCTTTCAACAACATTTTGGGGTTTTGGTGACAGTTTATTAAGATAGAATTCACATACCATACGATTCACCCACTTAAAGTGTAATGAGTCAATGGCTGTTAGTGTATTCAGAGCTATACAACGGTCACCACACTTAAATCAACTTTAGACCATTTTCATCACCCCAAAAAGCAACCCTGTACTCTCTAACTATCATCCCTCAATCCCCTCATCCCTCCAGCTCCAGGCAACCACCAGTCTACTTTCCTTCCTATAGATACACCTATTGTGGATATTTCATATAGATGGACTCATACAGTATTCAACAACCTTTTGAATGGGGTGTTAGTACTGTTCCCATTTCCCAGATGAGAGTGACTGAGGCTTGGACAGGTGAAAAGTTTACTAAAGGCCCTCAGTGAAGCAGAGGCAAGCAGGGTCGGAACCCAGGCCCCCCTGATCCCAGAGGCCCTGCATCCACCCCAGCCCCCCAGTGAGGAAGCCCGGGGGCTCACTGAGCCACCCACTCCTCTTCTCCCTTTTACCTGGACCCAGGACATCACCCCCAAATTCCTCCACCACATCCAGCGTTTCTGCCAGGGAAGCCCCAGGCCCTGGGACCGCACCCAGTGATCCCCGCTCTCAGGGCTTCAGGCCCCAGCTCTGCCACCCCCTTGGAAAGCTCCTCCTGACTACTCCCCTTTCTCAGCACTTCCACTGCCCGTGTGCCTCTGCCCACAGAAGACGGGGCAGCCTGGCTCCCTCTCTGTGGTTGGGAAACTGAGGCCATGGGGAGGTGTCTGGGGTCACCCAGTGAGACCAGGCAGAATGGGGACCTGGGCTGGGTCTCCAACTCCCACACCAGTGCTCCTCCTCCTGGCCATTTCCAGACAGGAAGCCCTCATCTCCTCCACCCCCATCCCATCCTGACATTGTCCTCAGGCCACTGGGAAAGAGGGGGAAACTGAGGCTCAGCAAAGCCAGCGACTTGCCCAAGGCCACAGGCACTGAGCCAGGACTCACCTGCTGATTCCCAGCCTCCCCCAGCTGATGCGCTGGGTCAGGAGCCCCAGTCTGTGGCTCCCATGGCTCCTCAACTTGCCCCTCTATCCACCCTCATGAAATGGGCCCTTTACTTGTCGGTGACCAGGGGAGCTGGGATCCCTGTCTTCTTCGTGGCTGTATGTATCCCCGGTGTAGTCCCCGGCCTGGAACAGGTCTCAGGAAAAGTGAAAGTGACAGTGTTAGTCGCTCAGTCAGGTCTGACTATGTGACCCCATGGACTATAACCCGCCAGGCTCCTCTGTCCATGGGATTCTCCAGGCAAGAATACTAGAGTGGGTTGCCATTCCCTTCTCCAGGGATCTTCTCGATCCAGGGATGAAACCTGGCCTCCTGCATTGGGGCAGATCCTTTACTGTCTGAGACAAGGAAGCCCAGGTCTCAGGAAACATCAGTCGAATGGATGATGAGACAAGAAAAGGGAGGAGTGGGTGGGTGGGGGTGCTTAAGGCAGTTCAACTACCTGCTCAGAATCATAGGATGCCATTTGCTAGAATTACGGGGTCTTACACCAACTCTTCTGACTCCTAAATCTAGAATTCTTTTAGGGGGTCTTATGCTTCTTGGGGAGTCACCCACACAATCCTGCACCCAGTTTTGAGGGCTCCTGGCCCCCTGCAGCTCACCCACAGGCTCCCCAGGAGTAGAGTCTCTGTACTGCAGCTTGAGAACCCCGTGCAGGTCACACAGCCCTGTTCCGAGGACACGACAGACGTGAATGTACTTCACCAGAGCCTGAAGCCCAGCACGCACTTCGGCTCTCTCAACTGCGATCCTGCACGGAGCTGCAGCCCCTGGCACACGACGTGGCGGTTCTGACACCAATCCTCCGCCTCCTCTGTCCTCGCACGGCTCGCTGCCCCTCCCCAGGGGCTGCTGCTGGCCAGGGACGTGCTGGAATGCTCGTTAATGCTACTTCAGCTGCCATCAGGCCTGGCAGCCTGCGCCTGCAGGCTTCCAGGGCAGGGACTGCCTGCACCCCACATCTGGGTCCCCGGATGACTCAGCAGGACCCTGCCTCTCCTCCCCTGCCCTAAACACCATCTTGGTCACAGAGGGCCGAGGATGGGCGGGGTCTGAGGTTCAGGAACCCTCCCAGCGCCCAGAAAGGTGCTGCAGACACACCTGGTAACAGTTGTGTTTATTAAGGGTTTTCTAAGCCAGAAATAGTGTTAGGCTTTTTGCATAGGTTTTTCCACCAAACCTCAAATGAAACTGGTCCTGTTACACACCATTCTACAGATGTGGAAACTGAGCCCCAGAAAGCAGAGGTCACTAGTCCGAGATGCCCCAGAGGGAATGTAGGCATTCATTCTTGGGTTGGTGTGACTTCAGGGGTGGTGGATTCTGAACCATTAGTTACTGGTGATTGTCTGGAGGTGGCAGTTCGCCTTCAACTGTGCAGGTGTCTGTCCTTAGAAGCCCAGCCCTGGGAACGAACGTTCTGAGTGACGTGGCAGATTCACATTTATTAGAATTTCTCAGAGGATGCAGAGTTTGCTGAACTTCAGCTTGTCTCTTCATTTGCACTCATAAAATATTAAAGCTGGAAGGTGCCCTGGTCATTGGGATTGTCTAGTCTCCACATTTTATGAAAGCGGAAACTGAGGCCCAGAGGTGCGATGGTCTCGGCCAAGGTGTCCCCAAGTCACAGATAATTAGGAAGAAATCCAGGACTCCAGACATCATGTCAATCCGCCCTAAGATCAAACAATGCGAGCTCAGGAAGCAACACTCAGGGCCTTCCGGTGCAAGCCTCTCATTTTACAAAAGAGGAAACAGACTCAGAGAAGAGCGGGGTCTTCTTAAGGCAAAGTGTACCACTGACGGTCCCCAAAGACCGAGTTTTGTACTAGCAGTGTGACCAGAGAGATGAGATAACCTTTTATTAGTAAAGTGGCAATAACAGAACCTATAGCATAGGCTCACCCACAGGAATATAAATGATGCTGGCCAGCACTGAGCACTCACTAAAGGCTCCATCTGTAGTATATATTATTAACACTGGCAGGCCCTTGTCATTTCCCCTCTGCCACCTGCCTTCCAGGCCAAATGTTTCTAGGTACAGAAGAGTGGGTAAGACTGTGGATTGCTGCTTCAGTCACTTGGTAGCTGGGTGACCTCGGACTGGTTACTAGTTTGTGACTCTGGGCTTCAAATGTCTCATGAGGAAATGGTATGGCAGGAACAGACCTACTAGACAGGAATTTGCGGGGGATGGATATAACATGTGACAGGCTTCATGCAAAGCCAGGCCTATATGAAGTGCTCAATGTATTTGAGCTACCACTTCTACTACCTTCATGGCCATGTTGCATGTCTGTCCCATCCCAGGCTGCAGGGCGCCTGGCCCAGTGTTAGGAGTGCCAGTGCGGCAAGGCAAGGCGATCTCGGAGCTCTGTGCCTCCTGTCTCCGGGGCAGGGACTGCCTGTACCCCACATCTAGGTCCCCAGATGACTCAGCAGGACCCTGCCTCTCTTCCCCCACTCCTAACACTATCTTGGTCACAGAGGGCAGAAGATGGGCAGGGTCCAAGGCTCAGGAACCCTCCCAGTGCCCAAAACTGTGACAACCGGTCACAGTTGTGTTTATTAAAGGTTTTCTAAGCCAGAAATAGTGTTAGGCTTTTTGCATAGGTTTTCCCACCAAACCTCAAAAGAAGTTGGTCCTATTACACACCATTCTACAGATGTGGAAACTGAGCCCCAGAAAGCAGAGGTCACTTGTCTGAGATGCCTCAGAGGGAGTGTAGGCATTCATTCTTGGGTTCGTGCTGACTTCAGGGGTGGATTCTGAACCATTAGTTATCGTTGATTGTCTGGAGGAACAGGGACGCGGCCCTGCTTTCTCAGCGCCTGCCTGGAGGCGGGGATTCTGAAAATGCCGGACAAAATTCCGGCTTTTGCAAGTGGAAGTGTCCCGGAGGAGCCCCCCTTTCAGGTGCAGAAACTGAGGTTGCTGTCCACAGACTCACAGACGCCCGGTCTCAGGCCCAGGGTTTGATGCACCGCTGTCCTCGCTTGTGGCACGGTAGCCCAGGAACGGTCCCCTTCCCCAGGAGCCCCCGTCCCCGAGGAAGAGCGCCCATCCCAGAGCTCCGCCTCCTCGGTTCAAGACTGTGAGGTCCGTCCTCCCGGTGGCATCTCGGCGCCTGTCCTGGCGTTACGACTAAGGAACCGATGGCAACCGAGGCAGCTGCCACCTTTCTGCAGTATCCAGGGATGTCTCTGACCCCAAGCTGCGGCGACCAGGGCTGCCGGAAAGCTGGGTCCCAGCTGGAGGTAGCGCTCGCTTTCCGCATCTCCGAGCCCAAGCCTCGGAGGAGCGCTCGACAATCTTCGGAAGCCGGAGGGAACGCTCGGGCATTTCCGGTGCCGAGGGGCGGGGCTGACCGTAATACCGGCGTCTCCGCCTCCGCCTATAGAGGGCGCTGTTGTCAGCGCGAGCCCGTCAAGCCGGAGAGTCGGCCAGCGTATTAGGAGGCGCAGAAACAGGTTCTGTAACCTTAGAGCCTCGGCTTCTTCCTCTGGAAAATGGGCTTGATGACAAGTCTTGTGAGACCCCAGTGGGACCCGAATAAGTTTGTGAGAGGAACTGGAAGGCACATTGATAAATATGCACGCTACTTGCCTCAGTTTGTTCATCTGTAATTAGGGGTCATTGTAACTTCCATCTCTGTGTAAATTGTAAGAATTGAAAACTGTGGGTGAGACACATAGAAAGGGCCTGAGGGACCTTCTCGGTGGTCCAGTGGCTGAGACTCCGAGCTACAATGCCAGGGACCAGGGTTCAATCCCTGGTCAGGGAACTAGATCCCACAGGCTGCAACTAAGACCTGGCTCAGCCAAATAAATAAGATTAAATTAAAAAAAAAAAAATAGAGCCTGGAACCTTGTAAGCACCCAGTAAAAGGTAATGATTGTGATAATGGGCGAAGGGCTCCCCCCAAGACAGGAAATAAAGTCCATATGTCAGTTCCTGCTTCCCCTTCAGCTACAGAGCCAGAGACAAGGCAGGTGCGAGATGTCCTGAAACCACTGCCGAGAGTCAGACCTGCCGCTGACACTTGGGCTTCAGTTTCCCCATCCGTATAACTGAGGGCCCCTAAGGCCCTTTAGCCCTGCTTCCTTGAACCCTGAGTTGTGAACTGCAGTCCAAGACAGCTGCTACTTATGGATGGATAGGGTGGAGGAGGGTCCATAGGAAGTCACCATTGACTGACATTTATTCTTTCCACAAACCTCACTGAGCTAACATTCTGGTACCAGGTCCTAGGGAAGCAACAATAAGTAAGAGATGTCTCTTGCCTTGGCCCAAAGTTGGGTTAGGTGACAAACAGCTCTTTAGAATACAGGCTTAGGCTAGAATGAGGGCAAGGCAGGGGGTCGTAAGAGCCCACACTTTGGGGGTTAGGGAAGGCTCCTTGAAGGTAAAGGGTAAAGAGAAGTTATGTGAAAATGGGGGCAGGGGAAAAGGATTTCAGACAAGAAGCTCTGGGTACGGGTACAAGAAAATATGGCAGAATCAAGAATTTATCAGAGGTGGGTTGGAAGCAGAAGAGATTCTGGGAGAGAGGGATGTCCTGAGCAAACACAGGGGGTGGGGCCAGGTGGCTGTGTTCTAGAGCCAAGTTTTGTGCTTGGCAAGTGATTTAACCTTTCCAGGCCTCAATTTCCTCACCAAAGCTTTTTAGAGTGGATGTGATGCCTAAAGGAGATAATGTATGCAAAAGACTTAACAGCAGGGGCTTAATCAGCGAAGTTAGAAGGTTGGTCAAGGCCAGATCAATACAGGTTTTTCTGCTGTAGGGACACTGGCTCAGCATGTACATCCCCAGGCCCCTCCACGAGAGATTCTGACTCAGATGATCTGGGAGGGCACAGGGATTCACTTTGATGACCAGCATTGAGGCACAATTCTTAAAAATTTTAATGAAAAGCATCCAAGACCGTAAAGACCTCAAGGTCAGTTCTGCCTCCTTCCTTCACCACTAACCTCCCTGGAAGCCAGAAGCCAGTTCAGGTGCCCAGCAGAGTTTTCCACCCGCATGTGTGACCAAGTCCCTGTCCCAGGTCTGCTCTGGGCTCCCACAGCCTTCTGTCCAGGGCGCCTGGCTCAGGGCCGAGGAAGAGGTTTCAGAAACTTTCCTGGCATGTCTCCCCTCCGCTGGCGTTTGTTTCTGGGTGGCGCCTGGCTGCTTCCAGGCCCTGTGTGTCCTCACGCAGCCTGACCTTAGAGGGAGGGGGCCGTGATGCAGCTGCCCCGCAGCGAAGCAAGCTTCACATCCTCTGAGCCCGTTTGCCGGGGCCTCTTTTAATGCCCAGTGATGCTGCATTTACCTGCCAACAGAAATGAACTTTTATCCAACTGATAGTTCTTCGCCCAAGCCTCAATACCCCAATTTAAACTCATTGGTATAGAATCTTTCTCAAACGTACTATGGACAGCCTTCTCTTCCAGAATAAAGAGAAGAAGCATCGCTTAGATATATTTTTCTGAGAGTGACTGTGCATCTTGAGAAGTGCAGAAGGCCCTGCTGTGAGCCACAGCCACCTTGCTCTGCGACCTTATCAGGTCACTTTCTCTCTCTGACCTAGACAGCCTAGCCTGCATTGGGAGATGACCCTGCAGACCTAGGGTGACTGCTGTGGACACCACATACTTAGGTGGCCTGCACACAGTGGTACCACACAGAGGCTGCCAGAATCATTTTCTTGATGACCCAAGATCTACACTGTGAACATCAAGCGTGGTTCCATGACTACTGTCTACTCATCTGTCGCCTCAGGCTAGACCATCCAGAGAGCCATCGGCGGTCATTTCAACTTTCTGACTGTGAGGTGGCCTGGGATGCCACCTTCCCCAAGACAATGCTGGTTCTCCACCTCCCTAACTTCCACCAGATGCTGGAGGGAACTCCCAGAGCAAAGCTCCAGACAGTGTGACGGGACTAGGAAAGTGCTGGGTCCAGTTCTAAAGCAGTGGTCCTATGGGGACCCAGCTGGGCCTTCCCATGAACATGAAAGATGGTAGAACAGTCTTACAGTTGAGCGTACCTGCTATAGAGACCAGCAGACCTGGATTTGAATCCCATCTCCGCCATTTACTAACTGTGACCTGGGGCAAGTTACCCGACCTCCTCTGAGCCTCCATTTCCCATACCATGAAATGAGAATAGTCAGAGTATTTATCTCATGCAGTTGCTAGAATGAGAGAGGCCAGGTGTGAAAGCAAAGGTACCTCTTCCTCTTCTTAGCAGAGCCTTGAATCCTCTTGTTGCTTAGCCTCTTGCACTGGGTAACAAGAATATAACAGTCCTAGAGCATGTGTGAATCCACAAGCCTCACCCAACTGCTCGAACTGGTCCCTTAGGAAAGACCAATGAACCGTCTCACTCAGACTCAGGAACCACAGCTGGAGAATCATTCATCTGTAATTGCTCACAAAGGGAACTGGAAGAGCGGGGGAGATGGGGCGAATCTGTAAATCCACCCACGGGCTCCTGACCTTTTCGGCAGAATTCAGCCTCCCACCTGGTGTCCTCCCAGGGTGGCAGACAGGTGGGTGGGCAGGCAGACCTACTGCAGGCTTTCATCAGTTTTGGGCCAGTCCCCTGTGGTTACAACCGCGGGTGGATACTGGGGGGGGGGGGGAGGCTTATGCAAAACTGCACATAGTTCAGTTTTTTGCTGTCTGCTTCATAAAGGGAGGAGGGGGAGGGAGGCCACCTCCCCTTTACTATAAGTTAAGGCCTGCAAAAATAGAACACCTCTAAGGAGCAGGGGGTGGGGGGCGGGGAGGAAGAGGGGAGGGAGAAAAGGATAAGGAGGACAGAGGAGAGGTGGAAGCTGTGATAGAAGGGGAAGGAACCGAGAGAAGAAGGGAAGGAAAGAGTATATGAGGCGTGATGAACTTCAGAGAGAGATAAGGAGAAAGAGAAATGCTTTGCACTTCACAGACACATAAAAATAACTGAATTCAAAAAGAAAAAGGTATTACTGAGGAGAGTTTGCAAGCAATGTAGTAGGCAGGGTCTGAGCCCCAGCGAAGGTGACCGCGCGCAGCTCAGGCTGGCTGGAAGTCTCCTGGCCGGTGGTGGCCGCCCTCCAAGGGCTCAGCCAGCCGGGAGCTGTCCAGATGAGTGGTGCTGAAATGCCCAGGTACTCACCAACTTCTCAAAGAGGACGTGCTCAGCCATTCGACTATTTGTTAAGCTCTGCTGTATGCCAACCACTGTTCCAAGAGCTGAGGAAAGCACCACTGAATAAGAAAGGCAAAAGTCCTTGATTTTATGAAGCTTAAATTCTATGGGAGGAGACAAGATAAGATAGTACAACTGTCCACGTTAGAAAAGGTCAAGTTCTATGGAGAAACATAAAGTAGGAAGAGAATGAGCTTAGCCAATACACCCCCAAACAGTGGGCACAGTGAGGTGACACAGCGCTGTAGGATGCCAGGGCTGGGAGTGAGCCCCTACTTAAAGGACGTGCTGACACTGGGTCACAAGTCACAGGGACTCTCAGCTGGGCGACCTGTCAGGGGCCAGACTCCAGTTCCAGCCGGCGGCCTGTTCTCTCTCTGGGGGTCTCTCATCTCCTCCAACCTCAGGTCATCTGGGCCTCTCAGTGCCAGAGAAATGGGTTTCCACCTTCTGTATACAGCACCAGCTTAAGGTTGGATGATTTGAGACCCTGTCACTGGGTCAACTTGGGCAAGTCACTTCCTTACTCTGGGCTTTGTTTACTCATCTGTAAAAGGGACAATGAGACTTGCCTAGAGATTCTTGCCATGTTTGAGGAGGTACCAAGGAGAAAGTGGTGGCTGAGTTCTGTCTGCTGTACACGTGGGGTATTCCCCCTCACTTGGCTATCATACCTCAGAGTCCCCAGGGCTTATCACAGGGTCTAACCCTGCAGACACTGAATGAATGGGGTGGCAGCAATGCTTGGCCAGTGTTCACTGAAAGCCGTGTTTCACCCTCACCCTTCATTCTGCAGCCCTGTTCCCGAACACACCAACCCTGAAGGACAGCCCAGAGGGAACAGGCCCTGAAGCCCATGCCTGAGTGGGTCCTGCAGTCTGGGCCACTTTGGGTGACACTTGGGGGATCAGAAGCCACTGTGGTCGAATAAGTTTTGGGGGACTCGGCACCCCTGGGAGATTCCCAATGCTCATCACCATGTCCAGGCTCTAGGAGTTGCACCAGGAGCCCTGTTAACTTCCTTCAGCTGTCAAACTCCTGCTTCCCCTCCTTTTTGGAGGAATGCTTATCATAATCCTCAAGAAGTTGCCCTGGGAAATGCTGCACTGGGATTTGGGAAGGACTTGAGAATCCTTGTCCCAGGGAGACAATTTTAGAAGTTTGTGGGGTTCCAAACCTCAGTGTTTTGTGTACGCCTACGACATAGCAGGCACTCAGTAAACATGTGAAGAATGGATGAATGAATGAATACATGACACTGTTGTTCTACTCAGTTTCAAATGGTAAAAATGGAGGGCAGCAAGAACAAAGTGATTTGAGACTCAAGGACTCAGGGCACAATCATTTTTAGTCCCCTTTAGACCACAAGTTTGGCTGAATAACTGCTGGAGTTTATTCATCCATCCATTCATTCACCCAATGACAACTCAGAGTGGTAAGTGTGATGTGGTAGATTAGCACTGGGGAATATGGAGGGGATAACTGACTAAATGTGGGGGTAAAAGGGAATGACTTCCAGGAGGTGAGCCTGAAAGGCCCTTTGAGGGGACTGGCCTCAGGATTCCTACCCTCATGTCATTTTCCCAGCCACATGAATCACACTAGGGACTTCGTGCTTAGAATCCCATGGTTGTGGCCCCCCCAGCCTTGACAGCATCCACCCTGGCCCCCTCCTCTCTTTCAGCCCCTGCTACCAGCCCCCTTTGCTGTCAGCTGCTTGCCAGCCTCCCCACACCCAGACGATGCATCTGCAATATGCAGATGACTGAAAAGACCCAAAGGAACAGAGCTAATGGCAAGATTCCAAGCAGAATGACAAGTCAATGGGGAGCCCTCTGCAAGCCCCCCAAATACCATTCTCAGAAGCCTCAGGCCAGACACTCACCTCCATCCTCTCAGCACCAACTGCACATCTGCCCTTCTGCCCCCTGCAAACTGGAGCATGGCTGGATCTTTAAACAGGGGAAAAATGCTTCATCATGTTCTGCTTCTCCATGAAAAACCAGAAACTCCCTTCCCCCTCCCTCCTCCTCCCCAGCACACTCTCCTCCCAGTAAAACCTGGTTAAAGGGACAGTACAATCACGTCCCCATCTCTGAGGGTCTGCTTAGAACCAGGGGTCTGGGAGTGAGGTGGGGTGCAGAGAGAAAAGGACAGATAGAAGTCTTTCCTAGGGTATTTGTCTGTCCCCATCCTGGGGAGCCTACACAAGGAAAACCATGCAGACTGGAAATGTAGTGTGGGTTGAATTAACTGCCTGAGGGAGGCTCAGGTCTGGGATGGAAGACTTCAGTGACTCCCTAGGGGGTCTCGAGGCTCCCCCCTCCCCCTGCATCTGACATCTAGGTCCCTTCAGCTCCAATGGAAGGGCAAGACAGGTTTGTATGTGAGAGAATGTCAGAATAGAGGGAACTGGACCCCCAATAGAAGGTCAAGGGGCTGGGTCTCTGGCTGCCAGGTTGACCCCACTGGATTACCCATCCACCCCTCCTCAGCCCCCGATCTGCATAGCACAGGAATCAGGCGACGGGGAGATAGAATTCCTCCCTCCCATCCCTCAAGGGGAAGGCAGAGGTTAATTAACCCCTTTCTCCCCAGCGAAGAGTAGGCCCTGTCCTTGGTGCTGAACCATCAGCCGCAGCGCCACCCCCACTCCCAAGGCTCTTGACTGGAATCAAACCCAAGACAAAGCTAAATATCACCAGCAGTGCAGGCCCCCCAAATACAAAGGCCCTCTTTTCTACCTGAATTAAGGCTTGTGGGGGTGAGCGGCTCTGGTACCCTGAAAGCTTCTCACTGCTTCTCTGGGTGTGAGAAGGGAGCCCAGTCATGACACCCACTTGTCTCTTGTGGGTGTGGGGAGAGGCGACAAGTTGAAGCCGAGGAGATGGAGAGGGAAGAGGAAGAAAGGACTTCCGAGTTGTGGGGAAGTGGCTGCTATATCCACGGGCAGTAGAAGGATTCCTCTCCTCTACTGATGCCGGAGACTTCCCAAGTCTCTAGGGGTCTCAAGTTGCAGCCTGACCTAGAGCAAGGTCTGTTCTTTGTACCGATGGGAAAACCGAGTGGGGGGTGGGGAACAACTTGTTCAAGGTCATTTACCAGCAATTGTGGAGCCGTCCTCAGTGTGCAGACCCTGGCTTGAGTGACTCCTAGCACACCTATCACTTCCCCAACCCCACACCCAACTCACACCAGCTCTCCCAACTTCATGCCCAGCTCCCTGAAGTACCCCCACCCTTGGTCCTTTGACCCTTGCACACTCTGCCTTTACAGGGAACCCTCTGCGCACTTCACTGAGTGTCCTTGCTGGGGCCGGTTTCAGGGTCTCCTGCCTCCCATCCCGAGGAGACCACTGCGCCCACCCCAACCCGGGCTTCCCTCTCTGGTCTCTGCAGTGCCTCCCACACCCCCCGCTCAGGGCAGCCTCGCTGCCCCTCCCCAGCTCCAGGTCTCCCTCCCCGTTTTCGGGCCAGTTGCCAAGTTCTTTGGCCCTCTCCTGGTGGCCTCTCTAGCAGCTAGGGGAAGGGTTACCTCCATTCAGGGGTCTTCTATCTTTACTCTCTGTAGCGCCCACCATGCCTCCATTCAGAAGTGCTTTTCTCCTCCCCTATTTCGGGCCGGCTGCAGACACTCTGCGCTCCCTTTCCTGAGGGTCTAACTATCAGGAAAATCCTGTGCCCCCTACCACTCGGGGTCCTCCTACTGCGTCTTCCACCGCCCCGTCCCGAGGGCATCTTGCCCCATTCCCATCTGGTCTCCTTGCCCTCGCGCCCCCATTTTGGGCGCCTTCTCTCTTTCCCAACATAGTAGTAGGGTCTCGCCATCCGCACCCGGGGGGTCCCCGGCGGTCCACTCTGGGAGTCCTCTACCGCCTGACGGCCTCGGGGTGGGGGGTGGGAGCGGGGGTCTCCTCTGACGCTGCATTGTCGATTCCACTTCACTCCTAGGTTCCCCTGCCCCGCCCCTCTCACTGCGGCGGAGCCGGCCGGCCCTGGGCCGCTGGGGGAGGAGGCGGAGAGGGCGGGGCCCTCCTCCCCCGGTCCCCCCCCCCCCGAACTGCTGAGGGGCTGGACCCCGCCGGGCTGCTATAAAAGGGCCGGCCGGCCTGGAGGTGCCGCAGTGTCGCCCGCCTCTTCCCGGCCTCAGGGCTCCCTCTCCGCCGGTGGCCGCACCCGCTCCGGCCACGATGAGCTTCAGCGGCGCCGACGCGCTGCTGGGCGCCTTCGCGCCGCTTCATGGAGGCGGCAGCTTGCACTACGCGCTGTCTCGCAAGGGCGGCGCGGGCGGAGCGCGCTCCGCAGCCGGCTCCTCCAGCGGATTCCACTCATGGGCGCGGACCTCCGTGAGCTCCGTATCTGCCTCCCCGAGCCGCTTCCGAGGCGCCGGGACCGCCTCCAGCACCGACTCGCTAGACACCCTGAGCAACGGGCCGGAAGGCTGCATGGTGGTGGCGCGCAGCGAGAAGGAGCAGCTGCAGGCGCTGAACGACCGCTTCGCGGGCTACATCGACAAGGTGCGGCAGCTCGAGGCGCATAACCGCAGCCTGGAGGGCGAGGCAGCGGCGCTGCGGCAGCAGCAGGCGGGCCGCGCCGCTATGGGCGAGCTGTACGAGCGCGAGGTGCGCGAGATGCGCGGTGCGGTGCTGCGCTTGGGCGCGGCGCGCGGCCAGCTGCGCCTGGAGCAGGAGCACCTGCTGGAGGACATCGCGCACGTGCGCCAGCGCCTGGACGACGAGGCCCGGCAGCGCGAGGAGGCCGAGGCAGCGACGCGCGCACTGGCCCGCTTTGCGCAGGAGGCCGAGGCGGCGCGCGTCGAGCTGCAGAAGAAGGCGCAAGCCCTGCAGGAAGAGTGCGGCTACCTGCGGCGTCACCACCAGGAGGAGGTGGGCGAGCTGCTCGGCCAGATCCAGAGCAGCAGCGCAGCGCAGACGCAGGCCGAGGCGCGCGACGCCCTCAAGTGCGACGTGACGTCGGCCCTGCGCGAGATCCGCGCGCAGCTTGAAGGCCACACGGTGCAGAGCACGCTCCAGTCCGAGGAGTGGTTCCGAGGTTTGCAGGCGCGGGGGGCGGGCAGGGAGGAGGGGCGCCCCCTGGTGGTCAGACATCGAGAGGCAGCGTGGTGTGACCTAGGGGGGTGGTGGAGTCCGCCTAGAGGGCTAGGCTGGATGGTGCGGTTGCTCAGGTTCCCTCTGCAAAGGGCACACCCCTTAGCTAAAAAACAGTTTTACTCTAGGTCTCTTGTGGGACGCTCCCCGCCTCTTCCTCCCCACTCTAGGTTCTCCTTTGGCCTTCTCCAGGGTCCTTGTATCTGTCCTTTAATTCTCGGTGCTCCTTCTCCCAAGTCAGGGTAACCGCCCACTGTGAGTCCCCCTTCCAACAGGTTCGCTCTACCGCTCCAAAGCGGTGCGGGCTTCTAGTCAGTTGGGGGCGGGGAGGTCCCTCTTTGCCCTTCAAAGTAACATCCCTTCCCTGTCCAATGCTGCCCATCCCCCTCTTCTGCACACTGCAGGGGGCCCCATTCTCCTGACACCTATCAGGCCCCTCCCGGCTACAGTCGGAGAGCGCGAGTCATTCTCACATTTTCTCTCCCCAGAAAGGCCATCATTACAACCAATTGGTGTGTGAGGCTGAAGTGGCCAGGGGGCCCTTGAATGTCCTCTCTCCCCTTCAGAAAAGCTGGGAGCCTCCCAAATCCATCTCCCTCCCCCACCTCCAGGCCACCCTGAGTCAGCTAGGTTGCAGCTGCCGCAGCTCTGAAGCTGTGTCCAACACCCGCAGGGTGACTTTGACCCACACTCGCCCTCTCTGGTTTTCATTCCTTTTGGGGTTAGAAGGGGGATGGACCAACTGGGCTTCTTAGCTTGGGGAGTTCCATGCTCCTTAAAACTTCTGCATTGTTCTTGGGAGAGGGTACAGGGGCTTCAGTGACTTTCAGAGAAGCCTGTGACCCACAGTGGGTAAGAATCCTCACCCATTTGGATGGTCTCTAAGTCTCTGGAAGCACTAGGAGAGAAAACCAGAAAAGCTGGGGTTTGGGTGCATGGCTTTTCCAGTCCCCGCCTCTCCTCTGCGGTAGCAGAACCACCCCTCCCCCATCTCTGCAGCAGCAAGACTCCTCCCAGAGCAAACCTCCCTGCCCTCTTGGACTTTGCCCTTCACCCTGGCAGACCATCCCAGGACTTCTGGATCACTCTTCTTCCTCTCCAGATCCCAAGACTCAGGTCCTGAGTATCATTATCTCAGGATTCAGGATGCTCACAGTCAGGAGGTTCACACTAGATCTCTAGACCTCCTCTGGCCCCAGAAGCCTTCTGGGAACCTGCAGCCTGTTGCTCACAGAGGCCAGGGTGTGGCTGCCATCGGCACAGGGGCTTCTATGCTAGAGAACATGCAGTCAGGGGGAGGAAAGGACAGAGGAGCTGGCACACGAGCCCCAGGCTCCACAGGGATCTGGGCTCTGCTATGGCTACATAGCTCCCAGAGCCCTAGTGCCTCTAAAGGTCATAGGCTCATTAATTTGTTCAACCCCAAGCTTGAGGTTAAGCTCCATGGGCCAGGTTTCATAACCCCCAGCACTGCCAGCCTTTGCTGGGGAGCTGAACCAGAAGCACAGAAGAAATAGCGGCTTCTATTGCTGTGCAAGACCTGAGGCCTGCGTTTGGGGAGTCAGGGTGTGATCTTTGGAGCCAGATTTGAACCCCAGTCCTGCTGCTCAAACTGGCCTACTGGCCTTGGGCAGTGTCATGTGCCTGTCACAAAGGACAGGATGAGTGAAGCATCCAAAATAGCAGCTGGCACTCAGAAGGTCCTTAACCTGTGTGTGGCCCCTTCCAAATCCAGTTGTGTCTAACCCTGTGTCCTGCCCCCCTCTCCCCCAGTGAGGCTGGACCGACTGTCAGAGGCAGCCAAGATGAACACAGACGCCATGCGCTCAGCACAGGAGGAGATATCTGAGTACCGGCGCCAGCTTCAGGCCAGGACCACAGAGTTGGAGACGCTCAAAAGCACCAAGGACTCGCTGGAGAGGCAGCGCTCTGAGCTGGAGGACCGTCACCAGGCTGACATCGCATCCTACCAGGTGGGCGGGGTGGGGCAGAAAGCCAGACCACCTCACCTGGCTGGGTGACCCTGGACAAGTCACTGTCCCTCTCTGAGTGGAGAGCATGGGCCTTAGAGTCAGACATGACAGGGGTATCTGTATGTCTTTGTAGCTGTGTGACCCTAAGAAAGGTATCTGCCTCTCTCTCTGACTCTGAATTCTCTCAGTGCAATTTAAAAAAAAAGCCTCCTTTGTAAAACTATGAAGATTAAAGAGAGAGATGAACTTCTGATGAGATGAGTGAGAGACAGCAGAGTCTTGGTTGTGGTGGGTGTTCAATAAGCAGTAACCAGGGTCTGAGTGAGGACAGGCTGGGAAGGCCTCAGCAGATACCTCCCACTAAAGACAATGTTTGAAAGAAAATGTCTAAAAATTGTTTTAGAGAACTTACTATACAAGCAGTATGTGGTTATTGTAGAAAAAGAGGTTGATTTTTCATCAGCCATGATGGTTTACTTTAAGCAGTGGCTCAGTGGGCTTGGGGTTGGGGGGAAGCTTCAGCTCGTGTTTAGCGTGCTTCTGTGTATTGTCTCAGTCATCAGTAATAGTTGCCTCCCGAGCCTTTAATGTGAGGTGCTTTGGAGCGCTGGGCAGACAATAGGGAGCCAAAGCAGACGAGTTCCCAGTGAGCCCTTTCTAAGCTTAAGATCTATAAAAATTCATCTGTCAGCCCACTGACCTGTGATAGCCATGGTCAGTGTCTGGTGTGTCTCATTCCAGAGCACTCCCCAGGCTGAGGTTATACACACAGCAGGATGTTTGTTCCAGGTCCATGAATGAGGTCCTGAAGCTTTCACAAGGTGGGGGCTGGCCGGGACTGTGTTGGGTATGCAGAGCCCGCCCTAGCCTCGCTGGTGCCGAGGGCCCGTGGTGACCGACAGTAACGCGTGTGTGACCTCTGCCCCCCAGGAGGCCATCCAGCAGCTGGATGCAGAACTCAGGAACACCAAGTGGGAGATGGCAGCCCAGCTCCGAGAGTACCAGGACCTGCTCAATGTCAAGATGGCTCTGGATATTGAGATCGCTGCTTACAGGTGAGGAGGCCACAGGGCCTTTGGGTGGTGGCAGCCCTTGTGTTCTCAGAAGGAGAAGCCTTGGATTTTAAGCTCTGCAGTGAGATAACCTGCTGTCTTAGAGATAAAAAAAAAACAAAAACCTTTTTTTTCCTTACTGTCGTGAAATGTATACAGCATGAAATTTACCATTTAGCCATTTTAAAGTATTCAGTTCAGTGGCATTAAAACTATTTACATTGCTGTCCAGCCATCACTGTCATCTACCTCCAGAATATTTTTCGTCTTCCCACACTGAAATTCAGTGCTCATTAAACAATAACTCCCTGATCCCTTCCCCACCTTCCCCCGAGTCCTGGCCACCATTGTTCTATCTTCTAAGAAGCAAATATCTTGAGAGTGGCTTAGAGGGTCTGACAGTGATTTAGAGGGTTAAAGCTTCCCACCCTCTTCTCAGATTCAGCCAACCAGAGGCCTGTCTTGGGAGAGAAAGAAGGGACTTGAGTTGTCAAGGACCTTTACACCTCTACCTCTTCAAGAGAGTCTTTTCATTATTTCATTGAAACCACCCTCTGAGGTAGAAACTCTTAATGACCCTGTTTTTACCAATGAGGAGACTGAGGCTTGAAGAGTTTAAATGGCTTTGCTAATAAGGTCACACTTCTAGTGGGTAGGGAAGAGTACAAACTCTGCCCCTACTCTATTCCTAAAATTCAAAGGATGAGAATATAACAACAGACCCTTGAAATTCAAATGGGAACATTCTAATACCTTTAAAGCCCAGGTTTATAAATGTGGAATTTCTTGCTAATACTCCCACCTTTCTCTTAAACAACGTTTTTTTTTTTTTTTTCCTTAAACAACATTTTGAGGGACAGTACATGTAAATTTTTTAATATAGGTGTTCTCTCTTGAGGGCCATTTTTCAGAGGAAAAAGTTTTATAAGTGGTAGCCTTAGTTGAATTAAAACAAGAGCAATGCCATTGGGGTACAGATTCTGGTTGTCCTTGGGATGATCTGCTAGTGACCTTCTCCAGTCTAAGTGCCCACCATTCACACCCCTTCTTCCACCAAACTATGTATCATTACACATAGGGGGTCTTCAGAGTAACTCAGGAAGCCCCCTACCTCAGTGATCAACTTTGAGTTAATAGTAACGTGTTCCATTTATTCTGCAGAAAACTCCTGGAGGGTGAGGAGTGTCGGATTGGCTTTGGCCCAAGTCCTTTCCTCCTTCCAGAAGGACTCCCCAAGATCCCCTCCGTGTCCACTCACATCAAAGTCAAAAGTGAAGAGAAGATCAAGATGGTAGAAAAGTCAGAGAAGGAAACTGTGATTGTGGAGGAACAGACAGAGGAGGTCCAAGTGACTGAAGAAGTGACTGAAGAAGAAGAGAAAGAAGCCAAAGAGGAGGAAGGAGAAGAAGCAGTAAAGTCTCCCCCAGCAGAAGAGGCCGCATCCCCAGAGAAGGAGGAGGCCAAGTCCCCAGCTGAGGTGAAGTCCCCCGTGGAGGCCAAGTCCCCAGAGAAGGCCAAGTCCCCTGTGAAGGAAGAACCCAAATCCCCAGAGAAGGCCAAGTCCCCCGTGGAGGCCAAGTCCCCAGAGAAGGCCAAGTCCCCTGTGAAGGAAGAAGCCAAATCCCCAGAGAAGGCCAAGTCCCCAGTGGAGGCCAAGTCCCCAGAGAAGGCCAAGTCCCCTGTGAAGGAGGAGGCCAAGTCCCCAGAGAAGGCCAAGTCCCCAGTGGAGGCCAAGTCCCCAGAGAAGGCCAAGTCCCCCGTGAAGGAGGAGGCCAAGTCCCCAGAGAAGGCCAAGTCCCCAGTGGAGGCCAAGTCCCCAGAGAAAGCCAAGTCCCCCGTGAAGGAGGAGGCCAAGTCCCCAGAGAAGGCCAAGTCCCCAGTGGAGGCCAAGTCTCCAGAGAAGGCCAAGTCCCCCGTGAAGGAGGAGGCCAAGTCCCCAGAGAAGGCCAAGTCTCCAGTGGAGGCCAAGTCTCCAGAGAAGGCCAAGTCCCCAGAGAAGGCCAAGTCTCCTGTGAAAGAGGAGGCCAAGTCCCCAGAGAAGGCCAAGTCTCCTGTGAAGGAGGAGGCCAAGTCTCCAGAGAAGGCCAAGTCCCCCGTGAAGGAGGAGGCCAAGTCCCCAGAGAAGGCCAAGTCTCCAGTGGAGGCCAAGTCTCCAGAGAAGGCCAAGTCCCCAGAGAAGGCCAAGTCTCCTGTGAAAGAGGAGGCCAAGTCCCCAGAGAAGGCCAAGTCCCCTGTGAAGGAGGAGGCCAAGTCCCCAGAGAAAGCCAAGTCCCCAGAGAAGGCCAAGTCCCCTGTGAAGGAGGAGGCCAAGTCCCCAGAGAAGGCCAAGTCCCCTGTGAAGGAGGAGGCCAAGTCCCCAGAGAAGGCCAAGTCTCCTGTGAAGGAGGAGGCCAAGTCCCCAGAGAAGGCCAAGTCCCCTGTGAAGGAGGAGGCCAAGTCCCCAGAGAAGGCCAAGTCCCCAGTGGAGGCCAAGTCCCCAGAGAAGGCCAAGTCCCCTGTGAAGGAGGAGGCCAAGGCTCCTGGGAAGGAGGTCCCAAAGAAGGAAGAGGCCAAGTCCCCTGTGAAAGAGGAAGAAAAACCCCAGGAGGTGAAAGCCAAAGAGCCTCCAAAGAAGGCAGAGGAAGAGAAAGCTCCAGCCACACCCAAAGCAGAGGAAAAGAAGGACAGCAAGAAAGATGAGGTGCCCACGAAGGAGGCTCCAAAGCCTGAGGAGAAGAAGGAGCCTGCTGTGGAAAAGCCCAAAGAACCCAAAGCTGAAGCCAAGAAGGAAGAGGCTGAAGATAAGAAAAAAGCAACCACCCCAGAGAAGGAGGCTCCTGCCAAGGGGAAGGAAGAGGCTAAGCCTAAAGAGAAGACTGAGGTGGCCAAGAAGGAACCAGATGATGCCAAGGCCAAAGAACCCAGCAAAGCAGCAGAAAAGCCAAAGAAGGAAGAGACGCCGGCAGCACCGGAGAAAAAAGATGCCAAGGAGGGGAAGGCCGCAGAAGCCAAGAAGCCTGAGGAGAAACCCAAAACAGAAGCCCAAGCCAAGGAACCCGGCAAGGAGACCTCCACACCCGGGAAAGCCAAGGCTGAGAAATCCTCCAGCACAGACCAGAAAGACAGTAGACCTGCAGAGAAGGCTGCAGAAGATAAGGCCACCAAGGGAGAGAAGTAAGGCAGGGAGAAGGGATCGTTCAGAGCAGCCAAAGAAACTCAGGGGGGTCTGGGAGCTCAAGGGTCAGTATCACAAATTTTCACTTTTTTTCTCTCTTTTCTTTAAGAAGAAACTCTGCTTAGACAACAGGCCCTCCTTCACCAAACAGGAATTTCTATTAGCAATATGTTAGCAAGAGAGGGTCCTCCCAACTCCCAGCCCCATGGCCCAAACCCTCCCTAGGCGATGGGCAATTATGTTATGATAGCTTATGTAGCCGAATGTGATATATGCCGAATGCCACACGTAAACACTTGACTATACAGACTGCCCCCTCCTCTCCAAATAAGTGCATTTATTTCCTGTATGTGCAACTGACAGATGACCGCAATAATGAATGAGCAGTTAGAAACACATTATGCTTGAGATGTCTTAACCTATTCCTGAATGCCTTCTATTTTCCAAAGGGGTGGTCAAGTCCTTGCCTAAAGCTCTCTGTCCCGGAAGAGCTGCAGCAGGTGGGGCTGGGCGCTGACCACTGTACCACGCCAGGGCGCACTTTTCCACTGGAGTCCACTTTCAATTGCTTCTGTGCAATAAAACCAAGTGCTTATAAAATAGAAATGTTGTCATTTCTTCTTTTCCCCTGGACGGGCTGGGGGATGGGCAAGGGAGGTCTTAATTTTACACTTGAGAATGCACGGGACTGGGCGGGAACAGGAAATTGCACGTCCGGGACTGGTTATGAGGCTGCTCTTGGGCTATTTCCTGGGCACAAACCCAGGCACTGTGCTCATTGCTTTGAAATCTTATAAACAGGTGGCCTGGTGTGTGGTTTCTCCACAAGGTCCATGTACCACCTACATAAGCTCTGGGCACCTTATAAACATGCAGACTCCTTTATTCCACCCTAGACCACTGAATTAGAATCTGAGGGGTTGGCCTGGGACACTGCAGGCTTCACCGACTCCCACTTGGTTCTAACACACACTGAATTCTGGGGACAGGTGAGGTCCTGGGGACATGGAGCCATCTATTTAAGAGCTCTGCATATGTCCTTGTTTTGTAAGGAGGGATGAGCTTTCTGAATGAGGGGCTGTATGTAGCTAATCCACCTTGTGGTGAAGACTACAGTCACCACTATTGGGAACAATTTGTTAATAGTCACCTAACTGGACTCCAACATGCTTCTCTGGACATGCTTTTGAAACCTGCAGTGCTCTTGTGGATTTATGTGGGGCCTTTAATGTAAAATTTTGACCTCACAACTTCCTTCTAATAACTAGAATATGGCAAAGTGATGGGATGTCATTTCTGAGAGTAGATTACAAAAAGATTCTGGCTTCTGTTTTGTTTGTTCACCCTTGCTCTCTCACCTGGTCATTCTGCTGGAAGCCAGCTGCCATGCGGTAAGCTGCTCTGAGAATAAGGCCAGGAGCGGAAAGAGGCCTCTGGCCAACAGCCAGTGAAGAACAACCGCCCTCAGAACAAAAAGAAACTGAATCCTGCCAACAACCACACTGTAGGACATGGACAAAGATCCTCCCCTGCTGAGCCTTCAGATGAGACTGCAGCCCCAGACCACACCCTGATTGTAGCTTTCTGAGAGGCCTTAGGGAAGAACTGCCCAGCTAAACTGCACCTGGATGATAGATGTCTGCTGTTTTAAGCCACTAAATTTTGGAGCAATTTGTTACGTAGACAATATGGCTTTGACATCATAGGGAAACATGATACGTATTAGAGTTACAAGGGCTCTCATGAATCATTGTCTCAGCCAATGTCTACAGAAGACACGAAGGGACTTGTCCAGACTAGAATCCAGGTCATCAGTTTCGGTCACCACTTAGTGGGCATCCCCAAGAACTGGGCCCTGGACTACACATTTTATGTCCACTAATAGCCCAGTGGAGTGAGTGCTATTGAACTTGCATTTCTCAGTCAAAGAATCTGAGGCTCAGAGAAGCAGACCTTGCTCAAAGTCCAGAACCAGGAAGAGGTGGTGCATGGATTTAAATTCAGACCTGTCTGACCACAGAACCCAGGCTCGTCCTTACTCAGCGGTCCTGCCACCATCCTCTCCGGATGGGTTACGTGGCTACCCCTAAACCAGGTACTGGAGGCATTTAGATGATCTCCTTCTCGTGGTGGCCCCAAATGGCACAGGCAGGGCAGAAGGATATGACCAGGATACCCTCTCTCTTCTGCTGTTGGCCAGAGGCCTCTTTCCACTCCTGACCTTTTGAAGGCTTAACCTCAGGGCAGCTTACCACATGGCAGCTGGCTTCCAGCAGAATGACCAGGTGAGACAGCAAGGGAGAACAAGCAAAACAGAAGCCAGAATCTTTTTGTAATCTACTCTCAGAAATGACATGGACATGCTCCCAGTGCTGTAGGCAGGAGTCACTGATCAGACATCAACCAGACTGACTTTAACAATCTGCCAAACAAAATCATCCTCCCTCTGGGAGGATAACAAACCTTAGGAAAAACCAATAGAGTCAATTTACCATGGAATTGCTTGTCAGACCTGTTAGAGGTCTGGGGGACATGGGTGGAATGTGGACGGAGCCGACTGCTTTAGGATGATGTGACCTTCCTGCTGGCTAGCTGTTAGCTCTGCAGATACAGCTGGGTTGATGAAAAACATCCTTCATTTTCCCCCAGGGAGACTGTTTCAGAAAGGAGAGGTTAGGTTCTGTCTGTAATGATAAACAACTACATCTCACTGGCTTAACACAAAAGAAAGCATCTTACTCATTTATGCTATACACCCCTGGGTGGGCTGGCAGGGGTCTCTGTTCACGGTAGGTCGCTCGCAGACCCAGCTAACAGGGAATCCATCTAGACCCAGGCTTCCAAGTTCACTGAGGCAGGGGTGAGTGGATGTGGCAAATCAGGCAGGGGCTCACTCTTCAAGCTTCTGCCTACAAGTGATACAGGTCTCCTCTGGCAACATTTCATGGGCCAAAGCAATCCACGTGCTTATATCTCACATCAGAGGGGGTGGGCAGAGTCATCCTACCAAGTGTGGAGGGAGGACAGTGGGAATCCTTTTAGGGAGAAACAAAATACTTTAAGAAAATACTTGCTACTGATATTTAATAATGATTCATAAACATTAGCTTACATAACCAAGCAGTTCAAGAAGGCTGACTTGTTTCACATACAGCTAGATCCAAGGGAGATTCTCAAGTGATGTCCCTAGGATGCTGTTACTTGTTCTCCATCTCTCAGCTGTCTTCCTCTATAGAGGCTTCATTCTCAGGCAGGACTTCTCCACGTGATCTCTAGAAGCTTCAGGCTTACATCCCATCTGCTTAGTAAACTCTGGAGGTCAGGGTTAGGGGTGGGAAAAACTCATTTTCAATATTCCAGGAAAAGTCCAGGGTTTGTTCTTACTGGGTCCCTCAAACTGAAACTTAAAGGGTTTGGGAGGTGTGTTCTGAAAGGAAATTAGAGGACCGTTACCAGAAGAAACCTGGGTAGGGAAGATCCTTTGGAGAAGGGAATGGCTACCCACTCGAGTCTTCTTGCCTGGGAAATCGCATGGACAGAGGAGCCTGGCGGGCTACAGTCCATGGGGTCGCAAAGAGTGGGACACAACTGAGTGACTGACTCTTCCACTTTTTCACTTCACCAGCAGCAAAAGGGGTGGATGTTGGGCAGCAACAATGATAAACGGCCACAGTGGCTTGAGCGCTTGTAGCAGAAGATCCAAAATAGCAGTAACACCCAGTTGTCCGTGGGTGTGCAGAGAATCCTGAACTCCCTGGAACTAATGGTTGGAAAGGAAATTGAAAAAACTTTCCGGGAAGGCAACCTAATGAGATGTATCAAAAACCTTACAAGGTTAGATACTATAACGAAAGTATGCCACTTTAAGGAATGTATCCTAAATAAGCAGGTACAGAAATACTAAAAATACAAAATATATTCACTTTATGTTTTAGAAAAATGAAAAATACTTTGAATATACAATAATAGGAGATTGGCTAAATAAATTACATCTATGTTAGTAAACCTATGGCAGAAAAAAAGAAAGTAAGTTTTTAATTTAACAGTAATTTGTATCAGGCTTCCCTAGTGGCTCAGTGGTAAAGAATCCGCCTGCCAATGCAGGAGACAGGGTTTTGATCCCTGGTCCAGGAAACATCTCACAAGCTGAGGAGTAATAGCCCACACACCAAAACTACTGAGGCTGTGCCCTAGGGCCCGGGAGCCGCGGCTACTGAGGCTGTGCCCTAGGGCCCGGGAGCCGCGGCTACTGAGGCTGTGCCCTAGGGCCCGGGAGCCGCGGCTACTGAGGCTGGGCCCTAGGGCCCGGGAGCCGCGGCTACTGAGGCTGTGCCCTAGGGCCCGGGAGCCGGTGCTCCTCAACGAGAGAAGTCATCCCAGAAAGCCTGCAACCACAGAGGAGTCCCTGCTCGGTGCAACTAGAGGTAAGCCCGAGCAGCAGAAAAGACCCATATAAATAAATAAAACTGTAAAAAGTAATTTATGTCAGTGAGACCTAACAGGTTATCCACAGAACACTCCATGCAACAACAGCAGAATACACATTTGTCCTCCAGCACACATGGAGCATTCTCCAGGACAGACCATGTATCTTAGGCCATAAACAAGGCTCAATAAATTTAAAAGCATTGAAAATGGGCAAAGTGTTTCCAATCACAATGGAGTAAAATTAGCAATTAATAAGAGAAAGAAATCTGGGAAAGTCGCAAATATGTGGAAATTAAACAAAACACTCCTAAAAAGTCAAAGATCAAAAAAGAAACTGCCAGGGAAATTAGAATATGCTCTGAGATGAATGAAAATGAAGATGTAACATATGAAAACATACTGGACAGAGCTAAAGCAATGTTTAGAGCGAAGCTTACAGTTGTAAATGCCTCCATTTAAAGAGAAGAAAGATCTCAAGTCAATAATCTAATTTTCTACCTTAAGGTAATGGAAAAAGAGCAAACTAAACCCAAAGCAGGATTAGAATAGAAATGAATGAAACAGAGAATTGAAAAATAAGAAAAAAAATCAATGAAGTCAAATATTTGTTCTCTGAAAGATCAACCATACTGACAAACCTGTAGTTAGACTGATGAAGAAAAAAAGAGAAAATACTCAAATTATCAAAGGCAGTACTGAAAGACAGAACATTAATACTGACCTCACAGAAGTAAAAAGGATTATTAAGGAATGCTGTGAGCAACTGTATGTCTACTCATTAGATAATTTAAAGTAAATGAACAAATTCCTAAAAAAGACATAAACTACTGAAAACTAACTCAAGAGGAAACAGAAAATCTGAATAGGCATGCCTTACAAATAGAGTAAGGCATTAAGTAACTAATTACAAATTAGTAATTTGAAAACTACCCACAAGAAAATGTTGAGGCCAATGGCTTCACTGATGAATTTACCAAACATTTAGAGAATTAACACCAATCCTTCTCACACTTCCAAAAAATAAGAGGAAGGAACACTTTCTAACTCATCTTTGGAGGCCTGTGTTACCCTGATGCCGAAGTCAAAGAACCACAACAAAACTACAGACTAATATCCCTTGTGAAATATAGATGTAAAAATCCTCAGCAAATGCAAAAAGACAAATCCAATAACATATTTAAAAAGTTATACACAATTGTCAAGGGGGATGGTTCTATATAAGAAAATCAATTAAGATACCCCCCGAAGGAAATGCAAAAAAATGAAGGAAGTGAAAAAAAACTCAAGATGCATATAGCATATCTGTGGGCAAAAATGGACCCAGCTGGTCAATCTGACACCAAGCTATACCTCTTGACCACCACAGCACTCTTGGTGTACTTGTGTTGCTGAAATGAATAAATGGCCCAGCGAGAGTGCTGGCTTGCAGCTATGCTAGCCCAAAGCTATTCTTGTGGAAAGGGAAGCCTTGGAGGCAGACAAACTTTGCTGGGCTTGCACCTTGGGTGGGCAGTTCAAGAACCCTGTGAGCAACGCACAAGTCATTTAACCTTCTGAGCCTGTTTCCTCATTTGTAAACATGTAGGGAATGTGCACCCTTGGCCATGTGTTGTAATTAAACAAGACAGTGGATGTAAAATCATGATTAGCCCAGGGCCTGACCCAAAGTAGATGCCTGACACCTCTTTGATCTCAACAGAGAGGCTGCTGAATACCATGGAAAGGCCAGAGCTGGGGCTACGCAGACAGGGAGGAAATTTCCTTTGGAAGCCTAGGCAGCTCTGCTTCATTCTATGGATAAGGCTTTTAGCTTTGTGATCAGCAGGAATGCTCTTATAACAAAAGGCGTCTTTGGAGTATTTGCTGAGAAAATGATTGGCAGGGGACGATTGGAAAAAGGGTCAGGAGAGACTAGGAGATACTGAGAAACCAAGAATATGGGGAGCAGCTTTAAAAAGGCAAGGACCCTGGGCTGAGTCTGAGGTGTAGGAGGATGACAGAAAGGGGCTGCTGTATGGGATGTGGTCCAGCGAAGCTCAAGGCCAAGAAGGAAGCTTTGAGGTCTTCCCAAACCAGGCCTCCCAAACCCTTCCCCCTAATCTGCCCACTGGAGACAAAAATGGCTCAGTTCAGTAGCTCAAAGGGGCTGGATTGTCTTGGGCTTCTCACTAGTTTTAAAACCCTACTTCTTAAGGACAAAGGATTCTTTTGTTCAGTTTGCTCCTTTGAAGGGGGTAAAATCTCTTCTAGAGGGTGCCTGGCTCTGACATCTTCTGCCCAGGAAGCAGAGCCTCCTCCCAGCCCTCACAGGCTGTCTCTGCAACCTTGTCCCAGCTCTCAAGAGCCGAGCTCGTGTGCTGAGTCAGTCTGGCCGCCTTCCAGCCAAGAACAGAGTGGAGGCTGCAATGCAGGGGCCATCAAAGGAACTATTTTTAGGCCCCATTTCAATCTTATTCAGCACAGGCGGTGAGACGCAAGGCTTGAAGGTGGCCAGACCAAGGGGGATGCTGGCAGAGATCGTCTCAGGCAAGTAGGTCAGGGAAAAGACAAAGAAATCTCAGTACAGGAGAGAAGTGCCCAGAGGCTCATGCTGCTGTCCAAGAGGCAAGAGACACAAGAGGGGTGCTTCTGACAGGGAATCATTACTGCATTGCTGGAGAAATCACAAGAAAAAACGTGGAAAGTGCAGCAACTTCCAAAAAGAGACTAGGACAAAGTGTACCTGGGGAGCTCATTAAAAATACACTTCCCTGGCCCATCTTAGGTCGACTGAGTCCAGATGTTAGAGTGGGGCGCGGGAACGTGTATTTCTAATCTGCTGCCATGGTGGGTGGTTCTCACACACAGCACAGTTCACGGACCCGTGGGCTGGAGAGCGTCTACCTCTGGAATGTAAAGGGATGGCCCAGGCCGAGCGGAGGCAGACGCCCCGAGGAGCCTTCTCTCCTCGCTGGGCTCAGGCTTCTGTCAGTAAACAGCAGGGCCCTGGGGAGGCCAAGAACCTCCGAGACTCTGCCTCAGGAAATCCTTGTCACAGGGACGCTCAGAGATCAGCTGAGAAGACAGGAGGAAACAGCTCTTACACCAGAGGTCCACAGTCTCCAAGGGTAACCGGTAAAATTCCATTTAGAGGGGCCCTTCCTGAAGGTCCAGTGGTTAAGACTTCACCTTCCACTGCAGGGGGTGGGGATTCAACTCCTGGTTTGGGAGCGAAGATCCCATATGCCTTGTGGCCAAAAAGCCAGAACACAAAGTAAAAGATTGTAATAAATTCAACAGACTTTTAAAATGGTCCATATTGAAAAAAAAAAAAAAAAATCTAAAAAAATTCCATTTATAGTGGAAACCAAATTCAAAGCATGTTATGAGAAGGAAAAAATCCATGTGATTGGGACTATCACGGTAAGTAAGATTTAAGTATATTGATGTTTTTGTTGTTGTTAGATTTATGTATGTTGAAAGTTGCTAAGACAATAGATCTCCAAAGTTCTTAGCCCCACACAAATCTCCTCCCTGCCCCATTTATGTAAGATGATGGATGTGTTAACCTTATTGCAGTAATCATTTCTCAATGTATCATGTATCATATGATCCCTCTGTACACCTTAAACTTATATAGTTATATGTCAATTATATCTCAATAAAGCTGGAAAAATAAACTATTTCATTTTTTAATTAGTGAACTTTATTCCTGCAACTCTATAATAATGCTTCAGTATTTTTTACATCTTTGTATCTTATTACTGAAACCAGGAGTTGAGTACTGATTTTTTGGTGGGGGGATGGAGAATAATTTTTCTGACAAAACTGTTTAAGAACACTCTATGCTATCCTTGTTTCTGTTTGACCTTTGCAGAATTACAAAGGAGACCGTTTTTAAACATTAGAGGGGGTTACCCATTTCCTCGGGTTTCCCTGGTGGCTCAGAGGTTAAAGCGCCTGCCGGCAGTGCGGGAGACCTGGGTTCCATCCCTGGGTGGGGAAGATCCCCTGGAGAAGCCTGGTGGGCTACAGTCCACAGGGTCGCAGAGAGTCGGACACAACTGAGCGACTTCTCCTAATCCTCTGAGAATCAAACCATTATTTTCTGAGGTTCCTACTGTGCCCTCACCGTGAAGCCTCTCCTCTGGAGTCACCTGCTCTCACGCTGCCAGAGCATCACTGGACAGCAGCTCTGCGTGAGACCCTCCGACATCACTCTCATCAACTTCACGACACCCTGAGAGATTCACAATTATTCTCTGGGACGTACTGCGCTGTCAGATGTTTGTAACATCCACCAGTCAGGGGAATTTGGCCGCTGGAGACACTGACAGGGTCAGAGTGAGGGGGCAGGGGAAGAAGAGCTTTTGCTTTTTCTACTATGCTGACTGTGGCTCCCCCTGCCACCCGCTCACAGCAGGGACTTGGCTGACAAACGTGAAGACTGAGGGCCTGCGGCAGAGCCGGAATCCTCCTCACTCTGCTCTTCTCGGCCAGCCAGGGAAAGCTATCCACACGTGTGCTGTCACACCGTGCCTTGCTCCCACCTGCCCTTTCAGACTGCAAAGCCACCCCCTCCCCCAAGGAGCCGCAGACAAAGGCCGCTTGGTCAGGTGACATTTTAATAGGCTAGAAATAGAAAACCTGTCCTGGGAGACTATCAAGAGCCACGTGTGCGCCCGAGCCGGAAGCAGAGGCGCAGCACTTAGGGTCTGTGGGGAAACAGGCTGAGCGCGATGTCAACGGTGGCTGAAGAATCCTTGAGGGTGGTTATATTTAAATGGCTTCATCCTGCTGGGACCCCTAGAGAAACAGGAGAAGGGAGGCCAGTTAACACCATAACCTTTGGGTTGATATAATGAATGCATCCACACAAGGGACTATGATGAAGCTGTTAAGGGGGGAAAAAAAAGACTGGTGTAAGGAAAGCAGACTGCAGAACAGTATGAAAGGTGTGACAGCAGTTCTGAAAAATCATCTTAATATGCCTCCGAAGGCAGGGGCACAAGCCTGGAAGTGCCCACTGATGATGGGCACTCTAGGGGGCAAGGGGCTTGGGTACCCTTACTGTTTATGGTGTTTTTACACAAATGTTTCTGTTTTTATGTTTAACAATAAACATGTTTTATGTCTATGATTAAAAAAAAAATGTTAAATCCTCCTTTGTACGGAGAATCCCAAGCAGGTAGGAGTTTATGTGGGAAAAGAATCTGCTATAAGTGTCTGCCAAGGGCCTTATGCTTTATACTCACTACTTCTGAGATGCTATTTCTATAATTTCAAAGATTTTAAATGAAGATGTAGGCTTAGGGATGTGAACTACCTGATATTAGAAAGTCAGAAAGTCTCACAGACCAAATTCAAAATCAGGTCTGATGCTAAAGCCTGCTGGCACAAGAGGCTGACACTCACAGCCAAAGCCTGGACCCTGTGACATTTACGTGCTTCAGCTCAAGTCTTGGGCCCTTGAGCAAAACTTCACACAGGGTTCTTCTCCACACGACTCCATGGTGAACAATGTCCAGCTAAAGGGCCTCTTTCATTCTTCTGCCTGTGACTGACATTCAGTTGTAACCAGAAGGTGACACCTTGGATCTTGGTCTGAGGGAGGGAGGGTGAGAGGTAGTGTGGGTGTTTGCCGGAGGGAGACTGTATATCATTTTTTTTTTTCCCCACACTGCACAGAATGGCCTTAAAGGAGGGCTTACTCTGCTTGCACCATGCTTGGCCCTTGACAGGCTCCCATGGTTTAATCTCATCCTCCCAACACCACCTGAGTGGACACAGTTTTACTGATGAGGAATCAGCTCAAGATGCACTAGGCACAGACCCTAATCACAGAGGCAGCAGCTGCAATTTGAACCAAGGCCTTTCTGGCCCCAAAGTCTTTTCTTAAGATGATGTCACGAACCTTCCCAACACCAGAAGGGTACAGAGTCGAGTACAGGTACAGAGTCGAGGCGTACAGCTGATGGAGACCCCACAGCCTGAAGGCAGCCAGCCCCGGGCAGAGCCAGACCTCGAGTCTCCTGCGGCCCAGGCCAGCCCTTTGCAGCCCAGACCTTTGACCTGATCCTGGTGGTGAGGGGGACTCCACACCAAGAACCTCACATCCCACATCTCATCAGTCATGGAATTAACTGGATCCGGAAAGCCAAAGGAGCACCTTCCCAGAACACACTGACAGATGAGCGCAGCCTGGGGAACAAAGCACTTGAGGAAACGGGTCTGGGAACCATCAGACAAGCAAAGGATAAACACTGGCCATGTGAGAACTCCCACCTTGGAAATGTGCTGCAGCAGGCTGGGAGCGGGGAAGAGCTGAGGTCTCACACAGACAGAGTGGGGAGAGTAGTCCCAGGACAGGACGCCATCTAGCCGCCAGCCCCACCATGCAGCCGCGGTGGGCTGCAGCTGGTTATCGTCAGCCAGCACGGGGAGCCAGGCCAGGCGGAAGGGCCAGATGGAGGCGGAAGGACGTGGGACAGCCTCTGGGGCAGAGGCCAGCTGTGTGAAAAGGTGAGGGCAGGCAAGGCACCTTCCAGACTGACAGAGAACACAGCCACGCCCCCATTAGGTACAGACTGTAGCCCTCTGTGACACCATTCCTCGCCAGCCCCCTGCCCCAAAGGGAAGGGTGGGCTCCGGGGTTCTGAAACTGACTCGAAGAACAAGACCACAAGTTAAGGGATGAAAGGGAAGGGAAGGACCTGACTCCAAAGCGGAAGGAAAAGCAGCCAGCAGTGCGGGGCCTGCAGACACACTAAATACCAAGCTGCCAGGGCCTGCTGGCATTTTCTGAGGCTCCGTCCGTGCCAAGATCCATTCTGGAAGGTCTATGTGAACTACCTCTGCTTCATCATGACTTAGAAGGTAATACTTCCGTTCCAGCTTTTGGGAAAGGCTCAGAGCTGAGCTGAAGTGACTCTTTCAGTCACCCAGCTGGTGAGCAGGACAGCGGAGGTCTGCACTGTGTGTCTGTTATTTCACAGCTGGCTCCTCTGTGATGCCCAGCTGCCTACAGCTGTGATCCTCCTGGACGTGGGAGCACTGTGGAGCGTACAGCAGGCTCTGGGGGCTGGTGGCAGGCATGTGTAGTCTGTATAGAGGGCTACAGCCTGCATCTAATGAGGACACCCCTGTGTTCTCTCTAGTTCACAAAGTTCATTTGAATCATAAAAAACAAACCTACTGGCTCCCACAGAAAGCAGAGAAAGGGAAGGTTAGTCAAGTCCTCTTGCTCACTCAGCATGAGGCCCACCTCTGGGATGTATGTATGATGAACAACTAACTGGACTGGGCTGGCAGGACAGGGGCCACAGGCAAGTTTTAGGAAGGATGACGTAAGCTCCCTTCGGGAAACCTGGCAGCAGGATGTTAATTCCCACAGGGAAAGGAGACCAGAGCGCCCGAGGACGTGTGCCCTCTGTGCCAGGCTCACCCTGCCCCACGTCCCTGTGAGAGGCAGGGCTGGAGGTCCCCGGGCCCTGTCCCTCACCTGAAAAGCCGCAGGCACATCTTCTCCTGGGGGAATTCTTTGGGCCCCTCCACGCTGTCGTCATGGCTCTCTGTCTCCAGGTAGACATCCAGCAGCACACACAGGCGCTGCAGCTGGTTGGTCAGAAGCTGGTGGCCCGGCCGTGGGCCACACAGCTCCTTGTAGCACACGTTGACCTCACTCTCCATGGCCTACGGGCGGGGAAGCCAGAAACTCAGCACCACTTGCAGGCCAGCTGGGTCTCATGGTTTCACAAGAACCGAGCCTGGGCCTCTGCAGATCAAGCCAGGCTTGCTTGTCCTGAGGCGCCCGCTCCTCAAGACAATGGCGTCCTCCTGATCCTGACCCAGAACATTTCCTGCCTTGCATGTCCACGGCCAAAAAGAGCAAGATGGACAGAGGAAGAATCTCAAGATCAGATCCAAATGGGAAAGTGTTAGGGATCAAAGTGTGCTCCTTGGCTATGGAGTCAAATCCATGGGCATAACAGTAATTAACACGGGCAACGATTTCACATCTTGTCTCGTTCCCGTGCATCTGACATTTCCACATAAGCCTGAAACGACCTTTCAAGACTGGTCTTTGTATTAGCCCCGTTTTATAAGCAGGGTGAACCTGTGGACGACCCCAGGCTAGTAAGGAGTTGACAGAGGTCTGAGCCCTTCATTACACCTTGCAGCCTCCAGCATGTTCTACAATCCCAGCAGCATCTGCCTGGGAACTGCACCAGTGCCCAAGCCCCCAGCTACCACTGGTCCTGCGCCCCACTCCTACCCCCCAACCCCCGGCCCAAGGAGGCTCTCCCTGCTCCTCCCGTCACCCGCCAAGGACCTTACCCGAATATTGTCATCGTTGTTGTTGGTCTTCTCCCCTTTCCAGTTCAGACAGAGTTGGAAAATGGGTGGGATGGAGGAGTAGCCGGGGTTTAGCACTACGGCAGCCTGGAGCTTAGCTGGGAAAGGTGGGGAGAGGAGGAAAACTCAGTTCTCAGAGTTGGCTTGCCAGCCACAACCACCTTCCCGCTGGAACCCTGAGGCCAGCGCTGTGTCTCCCATTAGCCCAGGTGTTCAGAGCACATTCTGCTACCAACTTTTACTTTCTGCCTAGAAACTCCAAAGCGGCTGCAAAAGGTGAGGTCCTGTGACTGGGCCTCAGGATGCAGAGGTGTGGGGACTCCTGAGTCTGGTTTGCCCAGTTCTATTTACTCCTTTGACAGAAGTTTGTTTTAACTGGCATTTATTTGCCAGCAGGTTAAGGGCTTTCCCAGTGAAGGCGCCCTATCTGTTTTTCAACATTATTGTATACTAGCCATCACATTATAGTCAAATATATTTTCTATATTCTGTTCTTTACTTTTATCTATTTTGTTATGTGAAGCTTTTTGACAGCCAGCATTTACTGAGTATATACTGTTTTCCAAGCATAGTGCTGAGCCCTTTTTACCCACATTTTATTTCATTTTAATAACAATTCTTAGGTGCGTACCATTATTATCATCCCATTTTACAGTTAAAGAAACTGAGCCTCTGAAACTACCTAAAGATCATTAAACAGACACAAAACAGCAGTGCTGAGTTTAACCAGAACTACCTGACACCAAAGCTGTGTATTCATAATCATTAAATGAAGTATTTGTATTTTTTAACGTACTTATTTTTTCTCTGGTGACAGCCTTCCCCGTTTTCAATACGGTAACATCCTCTCCATCTATGAGCTAAGTGTTTAGCCACCCTTTTTTCATTATTTATGAGGGTGGGGAATGAACTCTCTTACCCACTAGTAATTCAAATAAATTAATAGAGAATAAGAGAGTGTAGGTTAAGATAACTCTACCCTGATAGTCACAACAGTTACTAAAAAGTGACACTTTACTGTTGTTTCTGTCATAACAGTTTGGAACGTATTTTTGGGTTTATCTCTTGTCCACCGATTTTTTTGTTTTTAATCCATACTATGAAATTGTTGTCTACTCTTAAGTTTTCAAATTCTATTACAACACATTTAATAAAAATTTAAATGATCACATTCATCCTTTGTATGAATACAGAATATCTGTTATTTTTCCAAGCTCTTCCCCTTAACCAGGAAGCAAAAGTGATGTCTTCAATGATTTTGCACCCATGGGGCTTTGGAAATTTCTTGGATGCATCATCTGTGCCCTTTCAAAACAGTACTTTGTGTTATTTAGGGATGAGGTTTAAGTATTTCTTAAAAGGAGAAAAGACAGAAAGCAAATACAAAATTCCAAACAGCAGTCACCCCTCATGAGGGTTAGAATGAAGTGGGACCAAGAAGCCTCCACTATATCTGAAGTTATCTAATTTCCTCAGAGTACTTCTAAAAACGTGAAAAGTGAAGAAACAGGGGTAGAGAAATGTGAACATCAAAGAGTGTAACTTTTCATTTCTCACACCATCTTGGAACTACAGACAACTCCCTCCACCCTGCAGCCTCGGCACCGAGCCCCTGGTGGGATTCGGCAGGCTGAGCCAGACCCGCAGAGGCTGGGGCTGGACGACAGCATCACATGCACCACTGGGGTGGGTCCAGCTGGAAGCCCTGGCTGATCAGATGCCAGGACAGTGGTGAGGAGTCAAGAGCTCTCAATGCCTCCCCAAGTGAGCGCAGGGACTGCAGAGGAGGAGAGTCCTGCACTTCACAGCCTGAGAGTGACAATCCTACCTTGAAGAGAGGACGAGCAGGTCTCTGATTCTAAAGGGTGAGGAAGCAAAGAGGCTAAGAGCTCAGGCTCAGAGGTCCGACTGGGTGTGTGAGCATCTCCTACAAAGCGGGAACATCACCAGCCCCAGGACTGTGGTGACGATTAGCAGAGGACGGGACTGGGACAGAACAAGTCCTGGCCGAACGCTGCCTCCCACAGCCGAGACTGTCTGCTAAGTCCCCAAGGCAGGAGTCCAGGATCTTTAGCTTCCTTGGGCCAGCTCCCAGGAAGGTTTGCTTTTCAGCAGCTCCCCTCACCTAGAGCCACTGTCATCAGCAGGGCAGTTACCTGTGCCCCTCTCCACAAGTGCCATGTAGTAGAGATTGGTGTCCCCAGCCAGTCCCGCCTCCACTATGTCTTTGGTGAAATGCAGCTCCTGGAAGTTACCAAGGACAGGGAGGTGAGCAGTTGGCGCCTCTAGTAAGGCCGCCCCGCCCTTCTGGTGGAGCAGCAGGAACTGAAAGGAGACGCAGGCCTGCAGTTCCCAGGACAGCCTGTCGCCCCCTCCCACACCTACCGTGTAATCCTCATGGGCAATCGTCACCCACTTCACCAGGCGAGAGACAACCTTTGCAGGGAAGAGGTAGTGGCAGTCGCTGGTAACGGGCACAATGCCGTGTTCTAAAAGAGAGCAGGACAGGTGGCGTCACAGGTAGAAATCAGCTGCCGCAGCTGGGCAACCGGCATCCTCTGAAGGGCTCAGATGGCCCTGCCAGCTGTCCAGGTACACTCGGTACTCAGGTCAACATGTGCCAGGAATGGAGGCACGTCAACCTGACCTTCGCTCAGTGCCTGTGCTTGCGGCAGGACCCAGCCCCAGCATGCACAGCGCTTCATCCTTAATGCAAACGAAAACGCCCCCTGTGGCCAGAACCAATGAGATGCCTCTGTGACAGTGACTGTTAATTAGATCAAATAGCCGAGAGGGCTGTTCTCACAGCTGACCTTGGAGGAGGAAGGACTAAAGTCTTCTGTGCCGGTTCCTCTAAGGCAGAAGAGCAGGAGGGCCGCTCCAGGGTGAATCCCTGCTGGTGTTTCATAAGCAAATATGCCAACACCATACGTGCTATCCAGGATGACAATCAGCCAAACTTGGGACAAAACAAACTCCACAATGCTGATGGGGAGCCTGGAGAAACCAGAGTCCACGTGGGGCCTCCAGAAGGATGCTGTGAACTCAAAGCCTTTCCTGACAATGGCTCTTTTATTTTTGATGTGGACCACTTTTAAGGTCCTTATTGAATCTGTTATAATATGGCTTCTGTTTTGTTTTGGATTTTTAGCTCTCCAACCAGAGAATAGAACCTGCGCCCTCTGCGTTGGAAGGTGAAGTCTTAACCACTGGACCACCAGGGAAGCCTCGACAGTGGCTTTTTTTAGATTGAAAAAATCTTAACCCTCCCTCACTCGTGCCTTGTACCTGACAAGCTGTGACAAGTATTTACAGAATGAATAAATGAGAAGCTCCCACATGTCCACCATCTTGGTCAAGGGCTCATCAGAATCACTTGGAAGCTTATGGTGAACCCCGGGCTCAGCCCTGGCCTGGAGGATTTCAGCTCAGGTGTCAGGGGAGGGAGGAGGCATAGGTCACTAAACAGGCTGTATTCAAGAAAGCTGAGAACAAGCTCCGCAAAAGCAGGGCTTTGTCTTGTGATTGTGGCTCCTTCCCTAGCACTATACTGGCTACCCCGAATGAATGAGGTTCCTGTTACAATGCATATCAAAGTCTGCCATGCACTGACCTAGCAGGAGTGCTCCCGATCAATCTGATAAGTTGGGCCCCCAAAAGGCTTTGGGCAGTCCGAGACTGCCTTGTAGCCCCATGGGGAGCTCACATCTCTGCTTGGCGTCCTAGAGCTCTCCCCAGTGGCCCAGCTAACACCTCTCTTCAGCAAGAGCCAGGGAGCCAGCCGACTTTGTCATCAGGATTCAAGATATCTGAGTGCAGGGCTCCGTGGTCTTTGTTCTTGGGCTGAGCGGCTCAGGCCACAACCCTAACACCGCTTACCCAGGGAGGCAAACTGCTTGTGGAGGGCGAGGCGGGACTGCACCCTGGTCTTCAGCAGTTTCATGGTGGTCTCCATGTGACTGGCGCTCAGCGAGTGGTCTGTGATCACAGTGTGCTGTGGGTGACAGAGCGCAGCACATGCACGAGTGCTCCCTGTGCCTTCCTCCTGCCACCCCTCTCCCCTAGGATCTGCCTGCCCGTGGCTGCCAGGACCATCCATGTCCTGGCTTACATGTCTTCTGGGGATAGCAGGGTCTCCCTGCTGTGGGGGCCAGAGACCGAGTCCCAGCAGGAATGATACAAGCTGCTGGGATTTTGAGAGGCTGTGGGCAAGGCAGGCTTCTGCTAAGGGGCCAGCTGCCCTGGGGTTCATTTCTGGCACCTTCATATATAAGACCACGGGGTAGCAGCATGGGGAGCCATGTGACATGCAGGGCAAGGATCCAAGTTACTCTGACCTAGGTGGGTAACAGACTCAGGGAGAAAGCAAAAGATACCTAAACACCTGCAGGCCTTGGACACTTTAGAGTGAAGGGGACAGGTTGCAGCCCAGAGGGCTGGCACTCTGCTAGTTTAAAGTCCCAGAGGCCATCAGAAGCCTTTCTGGAGTCTGCAGAGAAGGAGAGGACCAGGGCTCCTCAGCCAATCAGTGGACACACCTGGGGCTGCTCTTTGGGGAAGTGGAGGCCACCCAGCTTCTGTACCCACAAGTAGGGGTGACCGAGGTCAAGTACGTAGTCCCTCAAAGTCAGGATGCTGCAGAAAAGAACACAGAATGGAATGATTTTACAAGTCATTGCTGCAGTGGTCCCAGGGTATATGCCTCCTCCCACCCTTTCATCTCCCCTAAACAGAACGATCCTAGAGGCTCAGCGCACTCATGGCCTGGCTGCCAACAAGGTCTCTCAAGTTCATCAGTTCCCTGCTGTGAATTTTCTCTCCCATAGCCAATTTTCTTTTTTTCCCTGGCAGCCTTCAACTCGTTAGCAAATCTCAATAAAAAGGCAGTGTACTTATCTTTTCATCAGTCCAGCAATACATAAAGTATTTTCTAAATTTTAATCCTCAGAAAACTAAAATGTTAAACACATCTCTTACCACATTCGCAGAGTTTTGACCCTTCCACCCTTACCTATCCTTCTCCAGGGCCTCATAAGCAAGAAAGGACAAGTGTCCCCTTCTCTGGATGGAGCACTCCCTCTCACCCCACCATTTCTCCCCCTCCCCCAACCCCCTGAAGGCCTCTGGTCCTAAGAGTTCTCCTGTTTTGGGAGTGGACAGATTGGGAGGAGGAAATGCTGCTGACTCACCCAACTTTATCGAACTGATACTGATTGGCTGGATTTGGAGTTTTCTTTCCATGATCCCCAGGGTACAAGCAGCTCAGGACTGAGTCAGGAGACAGCAAGTCACTGGAGGAGGGAAAAGACTGCAATGAGAACACCGGCCAAGCCCTTGGCTCGATGCAGAAGTGGCCATCTGGGGGTGGTAATGCCCTCTCCCACTGATGAGCAAAGCCACCATTTACTGAATGCTTCCTGTGGTCCAGACCCTGTAAATGCCTAAGGTCATCAGATCCTCACAACCCTATGAAGTAGGGAGGGTTAGCATCTCCATTCTACAGAGGAGAAACTCGAGGCTTTGAAAGATATGGCAAGTCCAAGCTAACACTGCTAGTAAGCGCTGGAGCCAGGATTTACACTGTTCCATCAAAGACAACAGTACTCTTAATCATCATTTTTTTTTTTTGGGGTGCAGATCCAATCTCTGGTCAAGGAACTAAGATCCCACGTGCCAGGGATTGGACCTGCGCCCCCTGCCTTGAAAGCATGGAGTCTTAACCACTGGACCACCAAGGTAGTCCTTTAACCATCAATTTCTGAGGAAACCTATCCCTTCAAGAAGTATACGGTGACCAGAGCCTTTCCTCAAGGGAGCAAAACCCTGTGACAACAGAAATAGGAACACTCAGAATTTTCATAGGAACAGAACAGATTTCTTCTACCCCAGAGAGATCCAGTGTGCAGCTTTGATGCTCTGCCTATCTCACACTTCACCTCATCTCATGCTGCCACAGAAAGAGCTCCGCTTGAATATTCCCAGGAAAGATACATCACACAGACTGGAGACACGGTGATGCCAATGCCACCTACTCACACCGGTTAAACATGCAATTGAAAGTGACAATCAGAGGAGACAGCACAGGCGGAGAATAGAGTAATTTGATCACAAAAGGTCCACAGGGCCCAGCCTCCCCCTTCATCCGTGGGAGCTCCCCTCACCTTCCAGAGACATCAGGAGCGACTCAGGCAGACGGCCGATCCTGCTGCCCTGAGCCCGGCAGGCCTCCGGGAACTCGCCCGGGACAGTGGCAGCTTGTGGCTCTGAACTGCTCTCTGTCCTGCCAGAGTCTCCCTGCATCACCCCCACCCCCAAGGGTCTCTGTCTCCTTTGTTGATGCAAACAGAGAACTGGCTATAAAATGAGTAACTGTCACTCTTTTTAGCCAATATTTAGTAACTGATACTAATATACTGAATCAACCAAAATAAAACAGTTAAACTGCACAAGATTAGGACTTGAAATTGACAAAACCTGATGGCATGATCAAATTTTGACAAAATTCCACCCACAACATGTGACTCAGGACAACCGAACTTGGTAAAAACAACGGACGTCAAAGAGCAGGCGACTGCACGTGCAGAGCCTGGTGAGGAGAGGGCTTCAGGGTTCAGTGGAGCAGCCTGCAGCCCCGAGGCTTAGCAGGTGGGCATCTGAGAAGGGAGCAGGCATATGCTCACCACAAGGAGCTCCACTGCAGCCCTCTGGGTGGTCTGGAGAAGCCAGCCCCAGGCGCCCCCTGCTGGGGTGAGGTGGGAACAGGGATGACAGCACCCACAGTGCTCAGGATGGCCCAGCATCACTCTCAAGCACTTGGACAAGGATGCACCAGGAGCAGGCACGGATGCTAAGCGCAGGGTGGAGGGCAGCCCCCCTCGGGCAGCCCCGGGAAGAGCCCTGCCCCACCAGGCCCCAGACCTGCGCCTCCGTCTATCCACACCTGACAGGAGGACTCAGTGGGGGCAGTGCTGGGAGGCGGGCCGGCCAGGCGAGCCTCCTTTACCCCCAGGCCCTTGTGGTCCTCTTCCCTTCCTCCCCAGACAGGCGGCCACGGTCAGGGCCTTCCTAGGGATGCTCCCCCCCCGTGGCTGCCTCTACGTGCCTCTGCTCACCCTTCTCAAACCCACCCACCAGTCTTCTTCCCACTGCTGCTGCCAGGTAAGGACAACCTGGGATCGAGCTGAGCTGCAGAGTAAAATCCCAGGCCCTTGGGACAGAAAAAGACAAGAGAAAGAGAGGCCTAAATTTGTCAGCCTGGTCAAGTCTGCCAAGTCTCACGTTCACACTCTTTCTACTGGTGTAAAAGCTGGAGCCCACCCACTGAGTTTACAACAGGCTGCAGTCGTTTCTGGCATGGGCTGCGTAGTAAGAAGACTGCACGGATTCCAGTCAGGGAGTGCTTTTCTAGATACCCTTAGTGCGCCAGGACTTCTGGGCTGTGTGGACCCGACAGCAGAAGCCAGTGTGGCCGTGAACCCCCTCCGAGTCAGCTGAGAGAGGATCTGGGCACAGCCCAGCAGGCAGGCGCCCATCACACCCCCGCCCACGCCCCAGCCCCGCAGCAATACCCCGCACTGATGGGGGTGATCAGCTCCGTAGCGGTGGTCACTTTGGCTTTCACTGTCATGATGTTGAGGTTCATGAGGTAGTAGAAAGTCAGGTGCAGCACACTGTCATCTGGACGGGAGGAGGAAAAGAGACATCCTTTATGAGTTGACATTAGAAGGGAGTCAACAGAATCAGAAAATCAATGACATTTAAGGTCTTTCACACAAAACAACGGCAATTTGAGTTAAAAGTCTCTACAAAAAAAAAAGTCTCTACGAACTCCTTCACTACTACAAACTTTACTGCTCCCTCAAAGAGGTGGCGCTCCATTTTCCTCCCTTGAGAGTGGACTGGACTTAGAGACTCTGCTTCCAACTAAAACACGGAAAAGAAGCGATCAAGTGATCACCAGATCAGCAAGTGGTCTGGGTTAACATCACTAGCAGCAAGACGCAGTGATAACATGGATTCCTGGTAATACAAGACAGTGAACACTCAATCTGTGGTGTGCTTTCTCCAAAACCCACCACCTCAGTCTAATTAGGAGAAAACATCAGACAAGCCCAAACTGAGAGTCTTTCTACATGATACGTAAACCTCATCTTCAAAAGTGTCAAGGTCGAAAAAAAACAAGCAAAGACTTGAGAAGACTAAGAGGCACAATGATTAAATGCACATGAGATCCTAGATTGAAACTGGGAACAGGAAAAGGGCATTAGGGGAAAAACCAGGGGCATCTGAGTAACTTCTATAGTTAATGGTATTGTACCAATGAAACAAACTTAGATTTTGAAAACTGCACTCTGGTTAATCATGTACAGATGTGAGAGTTGGACCATAAAGAAGGCTGAGCACTGAAGAACTGATGCTTTCAAACTGGGGTGCTGGAGAAGACTCTTGAAAATCCCTTGGACAGCAAGGAGATCAAACCAGTCAATCCCAAAGGAAATCAACCCTGAACATTCATTGGAAGGACTGATGCTACAGCTGAAGCTCCAATACTCCGGCAACCTGATCTGGAGAGCCAACTCATTGGAAAAGACCCTGATGCTGGGAAAGACTGAGGGCAGGAGAAGAGGATGGCAGAGGATGAGGCGATTAGATAGTATCACCCACTCAACGAACATAAATTTGAGCAAACTCCAGGAGACAATGAAGCACAGTGGAGCCTGGTGTGTGGCAGTCCTTGGGGCCGCAAACAGTCAGACACAGCTTAGCAGCTGAACAACAATAACTGTAGTTAGGTAAGATGTTGATACTGTGGTGAAGAGCAGGTGAGAAATCTCTGAATCATCATCAAAACTTCTGAGTCTAAAATTAGCTCAAAAAAATTTTTTTTAATAAAAAAGCAAAGAGAGAACAAGTGTGTAGAGTGTTTCTATTTATGTTAAAAGAAAAAGGCAAAGGATACACAAAGGTATACACCATGTAAAAGCTCCTAAATGCATAGACTATTTCTTGAAAATACACAGAAAACCATCACAATGCCTGCCCTTGGAACTCAGACCTAGGCCCAGCGTCTGGGAGGCTGGGGTGAGAAGGAAGCTTATGTCTGACCATTAACTCTTATCACGCTGGGATGCTTTATCATGTGCTCCACTATCCATATGAAGCCAGTTTCAAAACCCACATTCTCTGCAGAATACAAAGTTCTACGTCTATGTATTAAATTAAGCAAGTTGATGATGTGAGTCAAAAGCTGCATACTCTTGGCAACTTGCTCTGTGTATCTGACCTGTCAAATTCAGAAAGACGGTAGCTTCATCAGTGTCCCTGATGTGTCTAATGGTTTTGCTATATTTTTAGGGTTATGATTCAGGAAGGGAAAATAAAGTCAAACTCCATGAAGAACAATAAAGGAAAACAGAAATATGAAACCAGAATATTTTCATAGGCAAGGGGGCATTGGCTTGCCAGACCCCCACGTGGCTGTAGCTAGCTGGCTGCACTCCTAGGTGTTAGGAGTTGCCCCAGACTAAGGGGAGCCAGACCTTTGCACTTCAGGTCCAGGAGAACAGACAGCGGGTGCCTCTTCAGCATTTCCTTGCGCTTGTCATCTAGCTGAACTCCCAGTGTGGGTCGCCGGCGTTTCTGGACAAAGGAGGGAGTTGAGCAGGTTAAGCACAGGTCACAGGAATCCCCCCTTCCCTCTCCCTGCCACCCAGGGTTCAGCACTGGGACCTGTGCTTCAGTGCTCAGGCTGCCAGGATCCCAGCTGCCCTCTCTTTCACTTTTCTGCTTTCTCTTTCTCTCTTCTGCTTCCAGGGAGGACAGCACCTGGCAGCTAGCGGGCCCCATGCTCTCACCGTGGTCTGCTCCTCCTCGGCGTCCGAGTCGCTCTCATCATCTGCGGTGACAGAGAGAAGGAAGCTGGGGGGTGAGGGGACTCCCCCAATTCTCCCCAGAGCACCTCGGTCAGGGCATGTAAAAGGGCTCAGGCTTTTGTCAATGATTTTCCTTACGATAAATAATAAATCTGCTGTTTCTCACTCAGTGCAGTATAGTGATGCAAGGAGAAGGATAACGACCTATAATCCCATCACTCCTGAGTTCTTTCAGTGCTTTTTAATGCATTCCTAGGGACAAGGTCCTTGGCTGGTGGTGGCAGCAATAACAGTAACATAAACAGCAGCAGCAGCTCATCCATCTGAGGATTAAGTGCCATGTGCTGAGGGTGATGCTGAGGGCTCTGCATGCCCGACCTCCTTTAATCCACATCACAATCCTAGAATACACGAGCTATCACTATCTTGCTTTGACAGGTGAGTGAACTGAGGCTCCAAATGTTGAAGTTTCCCCAGCACTGTGAGCTAGTGAGAGGCAGGGCTTTTCCCCGTTTACCCTGAGCACTGAGACACTGAAGCCCAGCTCCCTGCCACTCAGAACTGGTATGGCTCACTTCCACAGGACCAGGGATGGCCCTGGGTGGGGACCTGGCGCCCCTGGAATCAGCAGAGGAGGATGTGGGGGAGGACCCTGAGCACCACTTACCCTGGGAGTCCTCAGGAGGCTTGAATAGAGCCTTGGCCTCATCCACGCTGCCTTCGATCGCCACAGACAACGTCTTATCTGGGAGCAAGAAAGAGCTGCCTGTGACAGCTGCTGAGGGAGCTCAGCCAACAAGCAGGCCCGCCCTGGGGCTGCACTGCCTGCACCTGTCACAGCTCCTTACTGACCGGGGCTGGAAGGCAAAAAGCCCTTTCTCCAGATGCAGAGGAGCAAGGCAGGAAACCTAAGTCTTTTTTCCATCATCTACTGAAAACAAGGACTCAAAGTGCAGATTCCTGGCCAAGCATCACCCGAGACTAGGGGTGAATTCTCTTTTCAGGTTTACACCAAGGCACAGAAATCCAAACCAGTGGCCCAGAGCCACATGGCACAATTCTGCCAACTATCACAAAAGCTCTTATCTGGACCCTGTAAGTATCCACATCCTAGGAACGCCTCTCCCCTCTTCTGTGCTCCACCAAACACCCAGCACCTGCCTGGCACTGTCACATTTAACTGGAAGCAGGACAGTGGGGAGGAAGATGGAACCTGCAGCCTACTCTCGGGCCTGCGCCTCTACCCAACCAACTCCCAAACTCACAACCTGGGATGTTATGTCAGTGCTCTCAGCCTCAGTTTCGACATCTGTGAAACGGGGATTTGACAGATGGGAGCTGCCCGGCTGGCTGATGAGGACTGAATGAACTTTAAAATTACTTAAAAAAACTCACTTTGAATCCTCACAACAACATACAGGAGGAATACTATTACTCTAGCCATTTACAGATGAGAAAATTAAGGCTCAGAGATGTTAGATACAATAGCCAAGTAGAAAAACTAGGATTCAAGACCAAGTCTGTCTAACCTGAGGCTGGCCCCTCTACCACAGAGCTAAGCAGCCTGATCCCTGCGCCAGGCCTGACACCTCACCGAGCGAGGCCTGTGGGACTCTGTGCGTCTGGTACTGGGAGGTCAGAGAGCCTACAGCCCTTCTTGCTCCATTCAAAGGGGTGTAGAGATGCACGCAGTCATGGGGGCCTAAAAGAGTTTGCCCAAGAGTGTAAAGGATGACACACTCGCAGGTGGCTGACCACTGCTTATCACCGATGACCCTGCATGAAGCATAACGGCTCATCCCAAAGAAACTGGCTGCCCCCACCAAACACGGGCAAATGCCAGAATGTTCTTTTGACTGGTTTACTCCTGGAATTCCACAGTAAAATGGGAATGAAAACAGGCTGGATTTCAAACACAAAAGAAAAGAAAATTACTCACCCTGTCTAGGGGGCTGGGAAGATTTCCTATGAGCTGATGATGAAAACAGGAGGGAGAACAAAGGGGAGGGAGAGGATAAAAGGACCGGGAAGACACAAGAAGAGAGACAGTAATGTGTGGATGCCGTGGCTGAGAGGACAGGCATGCACCAATGCAGTGTGTGTCTGAGGCAGTGGGGCGGGGCAGGGGAGAAAAGTTTAGGTGCCGGGGGAAAGCTGCAGGAGGGCAAGAGGTAGGATCGCCAGAAATGCCCCCAAATCCTACTGGAGTCACGGGCTGCCTTCAAGCTTAGTGAGGACACCTTCTCTCCCCTGGTAATTCACTGTGTCAACATGCAGCCTGTCCCAGAGCATGGCAGTGAAAGCCTGGGAGAGCTGGCTGAGACCTGTGTTCACCGAGCTTCTCCCTCAAGCAAGCGGAAGGCACCAGTCCACCTGCCAAGCGTGCCTTGATGGGGGAAGTGCTTGGGAGCCTGGAGAGGCTGCCTGGGCACTGAACCCAACAGCCAACCAGCCAGGTTCATCAGAGATTCAAAGCCATCCACCACGGAGTGCCCATCAGGTTAGTCCAGCCTCAGGCCAGCTGGTCAAAGCAGCCATGCTGGGCAGTGCAGAGGGGAGGCAGCATCTGTCACCTGAGGGCTTCTGAGCAGGGCCCGGGAGCTTTCCTCGGCAGGCGGTGCTTCCAGATGCCTCCCTGGCCTCGGCCGCTGCTCCCACAGCCCCTCTTCCCTGCCCGCCCCGTACTCACCACAGGCCTGCCCATACGCCGTGGCTTGGACAAAGAGCACATAGAGGGGAGGCGGCAGGTGTCTGGCTGTCTCGTACTGCTTGTGAGCCTGGTCGAAGGGCATGAACAGGTACTCCTGCACCGGGAGGGAAGCCTGCAAGCAACGGAAGAAGGGACTGTCTCTTTGGTAGGCAGTTCACACAGGAACCTTACGAAGGTGACAGCGACAGCAAACAATAAGAAAACGAACTTTAATAAAGATACCAAAGGAGCTCAGCTCAGTGATGGCCGAGGGGAGTGTAATGGGGGGATGGGGGGATGGGGGGAGGAAGACTCATGAGGAAGGGGATATAAGTATACGTATAGCTGACTCACGTAGTACAGCAGGAACTGACACAACATTATAAAACATTTATATTCCAATTTTTTTAAAAAGGGAAAGAAAAAAAAAAGATACCAATTCCCCTAGCTTCAGGGAAACATCAAGTACCTAAATGTCAAGTGAGTAAACTTCTATACAAACACCTGAGAAATGAAAGATCTAAATGAATGGCGATATATGCCATGTGTACACAGTGGCAATCACTGTCTCCCCAGACTGTGAGGGGAATAAAGTAAAACGAAAATTGGAAATGTTCTTGAAAATATTTCTGAAAATGTTCTGGAAAATTGGTAATGTTCTTCTCTATTTGAGTGTTGATTACACAGATGCGTTCACAAATGTACACAAAGTCTATGGTTGTGATAAAAAAATAAATAAATAAATAAATTAAAAAAAAAAAAAAAAACCAAAAAAAAAACAAATGTACACAAAGTGATTTTCATTGACCTGCATGTACATTTACAAGCTATATGCTTTTATGTAAAATTATTTTTTTTTAAGTAATATGAGTACTTCTTTTTTAAAAGGTTGTATTCAAGTTTATATGGCAAAAGTTCCCAGTTCCCAGATACCAAAAGTAACCATTAATGGTTTGGTGTGAAAACATACTTTTCTAAGCACACAGATGACTTAACACACATACGCATCCATTTGATACTCTGTAAATGAAGGCGCGTGTACACATGAGGTTATACTACATGTTCTACAATTCGCATTTTTTTGTTTAATAACTTAATAGAGCTTTCTGTCCAGTTACTCTGTCAGTAATAGGCTGTTCTACACTTCCATCACAACTGTTAAGACTAAACCATACAAGAATTTATTTACCCTGTACCCTACTCAGGAGCATTTGGAGTGCTTCCAGTTACCATGAAAAATTTAAGTACAACCAAAACTTTAAGTTTCTGACTTCTGTCCTATATGAGTATCTGTTAATTCTATACCTAGAATTGGAGAGAGGAAACACAGATCTTGCCAAACCCTACAAAAGTGAATTTTTAATTTCTCTAGGGTCCTTTTACAAAGTTCCTCCATACTAGCCATATACCCTGCTTTATGAAACTATGAAAATTTAGATCAAATCTCGCTTCACAAAAATAAGGTCACCCATACAGAAAGACGTTGCATTTTACAGGTAAAAAGTGGGGACTTTCCCTCCCGAGGTACCTGATGGCTTTCAATACTAGTGAAGTTCTTTTCAGAGTGAAAGCTCTACTAAGCAGTTGGCCCCTGAGGTGCAGTCAGGGGATCTAGCATCCACAAGCTTAGGTCCTCGCAGACTGCAGGCTGGGGGAGGTCATGCGAGGGTAAACTCCACTTACAGCCTATGAAAGTGTTTTACCCAGAAGAGGCGCTGGGTGAAAACACCCAGGTAAACGTGAATATGCGTTCCTGAGCCCATCCTGCCCGCATTTCCTCCACAAAGGACACAACCTTACCACGCCAGCTGTGGGCCTGCAGATGGGACCACCCTGGCACTCTGCTCTAGGCTCACAGACTGACAAAACAGACCCACAGGCGCTGCGGCTGCTGGCGGCCTGAGGCCACTGGGTGGTGAAGGCCCAGGAAGAGCCAAGGAGGTGGCGGGCTGTGGGGCCTCTCACCTGCATGATGCTGTTGAGACGGGGCTGGAGGCTGCTCAGGTACTCCTTCTTCACCTCAATCTCCTTGAGGATCTTCTCCTTGTTGGACAGGCACTCTCGGTACTTCTCCGCCAGCCTGTGGAGGGAGGACAGAGCACTGTCCTGGGATGCCCCCAGGGACACCCCAACACACCTGTTCACCGCCAGACTCTACCCAATGACAACAGTCGTGATGAACTGCTAACGGTTACCTAGCATTTACTATGTGCCAGGCCCTTTGGAGAACTCTTCATAATCATTATGGCATTTAATCCTTTATAAAAATGCTGGAAGATGGGGACTTTTCTTATCCCTGAAGGAGGAAACCAAGGCTCAGGGAGGTGGGTAACTTGCCCAAGGTCATCCAGCTAAGAGCAGGCGCAGAGCTGGGCTCTGAATCCAGGCCGGTCTGCTCCAGAGGCTGTGCTCATAACCACTAGGGAATATCCGTGTCACCTCCTGCTCCGTTTTCCGCCTCAGAGGCTAGACCCAGAACTTTCACAAACATACGGACCCAGCAGCTACAGGACCCAAACGCGGCCCACAGACTGGCCTGAGGGGGATGGATTCCAGGTCAGAGCCACAGGAATGGAACTCTCGTGGCTTGGCCAAGGGCAGGCTGCATACTGGACAGGGGTGTGATGGGCCATCCCCATGTGCTAAAAAGCTGAAACCAATTCCCTAAGACCCAGACTCTGTACTTAATAATTTCATAATGTAGACCAAAGGCACAAAATACACTCAACAACAGAAAAATGCAAGGGATTAAAAACACCACCTTTTCTGACAGAAAACGAAGCAAATGTGCCACCCAAAAGCCCCAGAACTTCTGTACACACGGAAAGAGGAAAAAGTCACCATGATGGAAGGGATACAACTATAAAACATCTGGGATGAAAAACGTATATACATACACCATATCCTAAGAAAAATCTAGATTAAATTACATAATATAGACATTCTATTTACAGTTAATAAAGAAAAGCTCTTTATTAGTACAAAAAGTTTTATATGTAAAGGGGTGCCTCAATGCATTATTTACAATGGCAAAAAAATGCAAACAACTTAAAAGTCCAATCCATTACAGAAACAATTATGTGACAATTTACAACAGAATGCTGTACAGCCTTCTGAAACAATGTTTGCAAAGCTTTGCAATACCATATGAATATGCTTATGGGTGGGGGAAAAGGAAAAAAAATTAAATTTATAGTACAAAAGGTATTTAAGTCTTAGGCATTAATATTTTGAAGGAAAGGTTACCCCAACTTTCTTGTAACAGCCTTAAGCAATTCCAATCTCACTTACGGTACAGCTGGACAAGTGTGAACTGCTAAATGTGACTTAATCACAAAACGCAATTTGGTCTCAGAGGCCATTCTGCTGGTCCCACTGTGCTTTGCTACTGACCCTGGGACAGGATAAAGCACTGGCCCTGGTGAATGCAGGCTCGTGTCTGTACAGGTGAACAGGTCTGGAAGGAGGAAACGCTACCTTTTCCGCTGCTCCAGCTCCCAGTCCAGGCGTGCAAGGGTTTGCTGGTGAGGGTCTCCCATGGTGACTTCCGCCTTGCTGATATCTGGAGGAGCCTCCTTATAAAACTCCTCTAAGCTGACCAGATCGATTTCTTCGTGCTTTGACCTGTAGTCAGAAACTCAATGTCAAGCTGCTGTTCTCAGAAACACACTGGCTCAAGCGGGCCCCCAGTTTCCCCCAGGTATGTGCACTGTGGCCTGGTCTACAGCCCCTGAGGAGCCTGGAATCCAGGCTTCTCAACAAATGCTCTTTACTAGGTATTTCAGTGTGAAGAGACGTAGTTGGTGACATGCCACAGGATCCTTACCCACGGTGCCCAAGCTTTATACCCATGATTTAACTAAAGACCTAGAAATCAGGCTTATGAAACGTACAGACCTCTCCAAGCTCTGCAAGAGAGCTAATAGATTAAAAAATCAAATAAAAACATCATAGATGGGCTTCCCTGGTGGCTCAGGGGTAAAGAATCCACCTGCTAACGTAGGAGACATGGGTGCAATCCCTGATTTGGGAAGATCCCACAGGCCGTGGGGCAACTAAGGCCTTGCTCTCTAGAGCCAGCGAGCTAGAATTACCGAGTCTGGGCACCCCAGAACCCATGCTCAGCAACAAAAGCCACCACAATGAGAAGCCTGCCTACTGCAACTACAGAGTAGCCTCCACTTGCTGCAACTAGAGAAAAGCCTGTGCAGCAACAAAGACCCAGCACAACCATAATTAAATAAATAAAATGAAAATTACTTATCAAACAATGTGTTCATGGTCATAATAAACTTTAAAAAAAAAAACCCATCATGGTCTAGGCCTAGAATGTCAGGTTCAAACCAAGAAATACAATTTAGCAAGAATAAACATAAGAGTCTACATTTAAGTTTAAAATATTAACTAAGCTTAACATGAGGAAGATTCAACATGGCAGGACTGATGTGAAAAGATCTACAGGCTTTAACTATTACATGTATAGTGGCACAGGTGTATAAAAGAAACCCAATCCTTTTTGCTACATGAACACAGGAGCACTCAGGTTGTATAGCAGTAATAACAGGAGCTGCCACGTATTACATACCCATTGTATACCATCCTTCAGTTCAGTTCAGTCTCAGTTGTGTCCGACTCTTTGCCACCCCATGGACTGAAGCACACCAGGCTTCCTTTTCCATCACCAACTACTGGAACTTGCTCATACTCATGTCCATTGAGTTGGTGGTGCCATCCAACTATCTCATCCTCTGTCGTCCCCTTCTCCTCCTGCCTTCAATCTTTCCCAGCATCAGTATCTTTTCCAAGGAGTCAGTTCTTCGCATCAGGTGGCCAAAGTCTTGAAATTTCAGCTTCAGCATCGTTCCAATGAATATTCAGGACTGACTTCCTTTAGGATGTACTGGTTTGATCTCCTTGCAGTCCAAGGGACTCTCAAAACTTTTCTCCAACACTACAGTTCAAAGGCATCAATTCTTCAGTGCTCAGCTTTCTTTATAGTCCAACTCTCATATCCATGCATGACTACTAGAAATACCATCCTTATCTCATTTAATTCTTACAATAACTGAGATACGGATTGTTACTTCCATTTTTCAAATGAAATGGAGGCTACCATCAGTAAGCAGTTTGCCCAAGGCCACACAGCTAAGGAGCAGCAGAGCTGGGAGCTGAACCCATGCTGTCCAGAGTCCCTGGTCCTTCCACATGGCCACTGCTTTGCCACGGGATTGTATTCTGCTGTATTTTGCATTTGTTGGCTTTCATCTGAACAACAATAACAGGTGGAGCATCATACCTTTGGTGTTTTTATACCTGTCTTATTTTTAAATAGTAATATTTTTAAAACTTCCTCTGAATCTTAAACTAAGAGTTTATTTCCCCCATGTACCCTTCTTCCAGGTTCCCTCAATGATAATATCTTATGTAATCATGATAGTCAAAACCAGGAAACTGACAACTTTACACTATTAACTCAGTTACCTGATGTGGATTTCACTTTTGTATTTCAGCATAATTATGTGATGAATTTGTGGAGCAGATAAAGATACCTCTCAAAAATCAGCACACACTAGACCCAATGTCTAACGTGAGATAGCTGGTGACATCACTGACTCAACTGAAATGAGTTTGAGCAAACTCGGACAGATAGTGAAGGACAGGGAAGCTTGGTGTGCTGCAGTCCAAAGGTTTGCAGAGTCAGACACAACTTAGCGACTGAACAACAACAACGTCTAACGTGGTCTCCCTCATCTCAAGTTTATTACAAATAAAACCTGACTCCTTTCAGTTTACACAAATAGGTCTGACCATGCAAGAACATGCTCCCCTCTCTTATTCTGTCTATTCCTTCCTCTTTCTGATCTTTCACCTTGGACTTGCCAAAAGGCATCACAGTTTAAGAAGGACACTGACAAACTGTGGTTTGTTCACCTAAAGGCAGCTAGGCAATAAGGGGTTCAGGTTCCAAAGAATGAAATCCATTTGCAAAAATGAACTGCTGGAATTTCACAGGGAAGAACTGGGCCAAAAGGTTAAAAAGATGTAACTGGAAGTGAGCTGCTCACATACAGGCGCTCAGGAATCAAACTGATAATGCGAAGGCTCTCCCTGCTGGGGAGAGACAACTGCTTTTCACCAGGGTCAGAGCTGAAAACTCGTAAGGGTCAGACAGGCTTCTGAGGTTCTTTGTGCAGCCTGGAACTGCTTCTTCCGATTTTCCCATTCAAAAGTGATTTATTCATCCTTTCCCCAGATCCTGCAGTCTCCAAGCACATCTGACTCCTTTTTAAAGAAACTGGCTCACACTGAGCTATGGAGGAAAAGGCAGTTACCAGCAGATCACCATGCCAAAGCCCTATGCTTCAAAACTCACTTAAACTCCAGACACTTGGTGATCTCCTTCTGCAGGTGCATCACCTCATACAACAGGTTCTGGAGCTGCAGGTGATAGGCGTCCACTTTCTGCTTGGCCTGCAAGGAGGACGAGGTCAGAGGTGAGTGGGACACGGCAGGGCGGGGCAGGGCAAAGCACAGCAAGCCGCAAACTCAGCAAAAGGGAAACGGGGTTAGGGAGAGGGTGAGAGGGAGGAAGGAGGAGGGTTAAATCTCTCAGTGCCTACCTCATGGGTCTGATCTCTTCCTTTCTTCAACCTGATGTGGGCTAATCGATTGAGCTTCTTCAGAGTCATAAAATGCACACAGCTCTGGATCCTCCGATCTTCTATCTCAACCGCCTGCTGGCCGAGAAAACTGATAAAGACCTTGACAAATAGAGCTGGCTCAGCTTCCTTCAGCCCCTCACTGCTGACCCATCCTCATCTAGGGTTAAAAACAGACACTGGAAGGAGCTCAGAACCACGAGCAGTGTCAGGGGGAGATGGAAGAATGACTGTATAAGGGAAATGCTCATGGTTCCCAGGCAAAAAAAAAAAAAATTTTTTTTGCTTGGACCAAAGTAACAGGAAACAAAGATGGAGCAAATGGAGCCAATGCACAAACCAAAGCTGTCTCTACATAACATACACAGAGATCCAAATAGTGCCATTTCACGCCATATAACTTGACCACTATAAATGCTACAGAATTAATTTGAACAAAAACAGTAGAACTATAGCTGTAAAACTTGACTATAGTCAAACAGATACACTGTAATAATCTTAACAATACTGGCCAAGATAAGCACAAATAAGTGAGATTCCTGAAAAAATATGGATTGTTTTGAACTTATCCATAGAGTTTTCAGTCACACTGTTTTGTTTCTCTGCCCTGAAACCTTTCTTTTTAAATTTAATATGAACAATTTAATTTTTGGTCTCTGTGTCTTACTTATACATATCTAGTCTTATATCTGCAAGGGTGACTGACAGTACTATTCACTTTCTCCACACCTAGCAAAATGCCCAGCACTTAATAAATATTGTTTCAATGGATTATCAAATTACAGTTACGGAATAAAAAATTAATCCTGTACTTTCATGACCGTCGTTGGTGACTGTGTGGTGATGTTACAATAAACTAATAGGCAGATCTCTAGAGCCCTCAGGGTCTAATCCCCTGATGATGGCAGGACATAAGACCACAATCAGGAAGGGCTGTGACAGGTGCAAAACAGATCCATCCATGCAGACCCATGTCCGCCCACGCCCACTCCTTACCGCGTCCTTGCCGCCCCTGCTCTTCAGGTCCTGAATCTCGGCCATGAGCCTCTGCAGCTCCTGGCACGTGTACTTGTACAGCTCATAGTCTCTGCCAGGGTCCCGCAGGTCCACCTCAGCCTCCTCACTGTAGTATTTACCTTCCTGTGGAGGCAAGGATCAGGCCTTGTGGTGTTGGGATTAAAAGTCTCTCCGGTGGAACAAGGGACACTTGGCTGAGATCAGTGATTATGAAGCCCCCCCAAATCAGGTCTCTATAGAATCTGGTCCTCAAATCAAATGCTTTTGTTTCTTCTTTTCCTCTTTCTGATTGTAAAGTAATGCATGCTTGGTGTTGAAAGATTCAGAAAACAGTGAAAAGTATCAAAACCAAAATGAATAATTGCCTATAATCTTACCTCCCAGCCTGAAATAACTCATTGTTAATACTGTGGATAAATGCATCAAAATAAAATAAAATGGAATCATACTGTTCATGCTATTTAGTGCAATTTCCCATCACAATAAACACAGATCTCCATTAAAATGGCTATACATAGATGAACCAGAATTCATTTAACCAAATTCCTTCTGATGGGTGTTTAGATGCTTGAATCAAGCTTTAGCAGAAACTAAAATATCCTAACTGGTCTCCCAGCCTTTGGAATAAACAAACACATCTCTTTCAGAGAGAGTCAGTTACAGTTAAAAATACTGCACCTGTTTGAAAGTTGCTGACAGTAGATCTTAAAAGTTCTCATCATAAGAAAAAAAAATTATGTAACTATGTAACATGACAGATATAAACTAGACATTTTGGTAATCATTTCACAAAATATAGAAATACCATTATATTGTACACTTGAAATTGATATGTTATATATCAAGTAGACTTCGATTTAATTATTAAAAAAAACAAACAGTGAATTGGAATAAATGCCTCCCAAAGGATAAAGTTCTTAATTAATTTTAATTTCCTAAATCTGAAGAAAGCGTCATCTTCTATTTAAACTGAAGCTGGTACGTTTTACTCTAGTTAAAAAAAAAAACCCCACAATCAATCAATATAGTTAAGTCACATAACCTACGGACTGGGAGAAAATATTTGCAAACAATGAAATCATCAAAGGCTTAATTTCCAAAATATATATTAACTCATACAACTCCGTAACAACAACAAAAGACCCAATCAAAAAATGGGCAGAAGACTTGCACAGACATTTCTCCAAAGAAGACATACATATGGTCAACAGGCACATGAAAAGATGTTCAACACTGTTAATTATTAGAGAAATGCATCTGAAAACTACAATGAGGTATGACCTCACACTGGTCGTAACAGACATCCTTAAAAAGTCTACAAATAAGAAATGCTCGAGTGTGGAGAAAAGGGAATCCTCCTATACTGTTGATGGGAATGTAATCTGGTGCAGCCACTATGGAAAACAGTATGGAGGTTCCTCAAAAAACTAAAAATAGAGTTGTCACATGATCCACCAATCCTATGTATGGGCATGTATCTGAACAAAACTCTTAACTAGAAAAGATACATGCACTTCAATGTTCACAGCAGCACTATTTACAATAGTCAAGACACAGAAGGAACGTTAAGAGTCCATCAACAGATGAATGGATAAAGAAGATGTGGTGTGTGTTTATATACACACACACACATATACACACATACACATATACACTGGCTTCCCTGGTGGCTCAGATAGTAAAGAATCTCCCTCCAATACAGGAGACCTGGGAAGATCTCCTGGAGAGGGAATGGCTACCCACTCCAGTATTTCTGCCTGGAGAATCCCACGGACAGAGTAGCCTGGTGGGATATAGTCTATTGTTGCAAAGAGTTGGCCATGACTAAGCAAGCACGCATGCATACATAGACACACGCACATATATACTCACACACAATGGAACAGTACCTAGCTTAAGAAAGGATGTAAATCAGCAGCGAGGATGGACCTAGAGATAGTCATGTCCAATGAAGTAGGTCAGAAAAAGAAAGTACCATATCACTTATGTACGGAATCTAAAATATGACACAAAAGAACTTACTTACAACTCACAGACATAGAGAACAGATTTGTGTTGCCACGGCGAAGGATGGATTGGGATTAGCAGATACAAACTATTATACATAGAATGGATAAAACAACAAGGTGCTACTGTATAGCACAGGAAACTATATTTAACATCCTGTAATAAAGCATAATGGAAAAGAAAAAATTAGTTAAGTCATAAATCAGCTTGACAGATTCAAGGACAGAGAAACAGCAAAAGAAGAACCTTGCTGACCACAAGAGCACTCAGGCCATGAAAGAGGTTCTTTGGGGACATGGTTCTGGTACCATCCCAGGAGCAGACCAGGACTGCCACATCTACAAAGCCTTAGGGGCATGTTGCGGATGGACTGTCTTCATTTGACTATGAGGAGAGCTGGAGACGCACACTATACGAGAATACATTCTCTGTTCAACCACTAATCATATCTAATATAGGCTTGTTGGTTCTTGGGATACTGCAGCCAAATCTGACTCAGGTACTTAAGTCTTGAAGAGCCAAGGGAATTCCAGGCACATGGTCAAGCAGAGGCCACCTGGGAGGTTGTGCCCATGACCCTCAGCTGCTGCAAACCCACAGCCAGGTGCTTGGTCCCAAGTTGCAAATTTCTCAGCAGCACAGCAGCCCCAGCTGATCTCACCTGCTCAGTGTCAGAACGAGTACGCTTCCCTTCAGCTGGTGCTCCATCACTTCGGATCACTTTGGGCTTTCGTTTTTTGCTTGATTCTGATGACATCGTTGTTTGGTAAAGTCAGGAGGGAACAGCAGAGACCTGTTAAGAGGAGAAAGCTTTCGAGTTTTTCTGGAGTTGTAATCGGAGATTTTCCTGGAGTCAGAATACTGAAGTCTGTCTAGCAGTTCTGGCTGCTTATACTCTCGGTAAATCAAGAAAAGCCATCAACCCTCCAAAGCTCTGTAAAAACGGGAATCATCCCTCAGTCTGTTCAAAATGAACTCGTCTTCCTCATCTCCACCTCCTTTAAAGGCACCACCACCAACACCCCACTGACCAAACTCCTCAGCCAGGAACATAAGCCTATACTATCAACTGATCAGTGTGTTCTGGACCTTCAGCTAAGCACTGTAAGAGTATGTTCCCATTTGGTTTTTAAAACAAGGATTCTCTCAGATACAAACAAGCATCTCATTCACGGGTGAGAACACTGAGGGTCAGGAAGGTGAATGACTTGCCCAAGATCACACAGCTAGCATGCTGAAGCATGGATCCAACGCGTGCCACAGCAGTGCTCTTGACAAGTACATTATTGCGTCTTGCAGTTTTGCTACCATGTCATCTGGTGATGCCCTCAACTCCCTGGTTGGCCGGAAAATTTAAAAGAATGGAACAGACATTTCATGGGACTCTAGCATCACAAAGCATCCTCACTCTGCTACCTCTACTGACTGTCACCAGAGACTCCTGAAGTGGGAAGCCCTATCCCCCCAATCCCAGTGAATCTGTCACCAACACTTACTGAGGGAGCCAAGATCTCCGGAGAGTCCAGTCACAGAAACCCTAAGTTGGAGTCTTAGCTCCTCTATTTCATGACTATGAGTTCTGGGACAAATCACTTCACTTTTCTCTGCATCTGTTTCCTCACAGATCAAATGAGAACAGCAGTCCCTACCTCCAGGGTGGTCGTGGACATTAAAGCAGGAGGCGCTGCACTGGGGAACGAAATGAAGATGATCTGGGAGCTGGGCTTTATATGGTAGCCAAGTGGTAAATAACGTTGAATATCTATGGAGAAAGTGAACTCCCGTCAATTCTCTTTAGAAACTTCTGACTGCCTCACGGAGAACGTCTCATTTCTTTGGTTGGCCTTTAACATCTACAAATGCCAAAGTCCCTTTGTTAAGGAAAGAAGTCTATCTCAGATCCTTAGACACCTGAAATCAAGTCACAGTCACCAATTTTTTCATGTTCAATAATCTTTCTTTATCATTACATCCTGCATAGGACAGTGAAAGAAGTGTTCTACTTGTGGTAAAGATTAAAATTTTTCTTTCAAACTAAATTTAAATTTAAAAAAGGACTCAGTTAAAATTAATAAGTTAATTTTCCACAGAGAAGGGGCCCTAAAGGCGTTATGTGTGGGAAATTCTGACTTTGATAGCACAGTCAAGAGTGCCTGGCACAGACAAGCGCATAATAAAAGTGAGCTGCTATCACCACCACCTTCGCGGGCGTTTTCTAGAGGCTGCACTGTGGGGCCTGACGATGCTGCGGCCAACATTCTCCACAGGAGGAAACTGAGACCGCGGCGCCGAGCGGCCCGGGTCCCTGCGGAATGACGGCGGAGAACCAAGGTTAGACCCAAGCCCGGGCACGTCCTCGCGCAGTCCACTCCTCAGTTCTAGCGCGCCCGGACCCACCCCGCCCTGGTCCCCTCCTCACCACACGGCACCCCGAAGCGTCCCGGAGAGCGTGCCACTTCCAGCGTCGGGGACTCTGTGGCTTGCGCACCATAGAGAAGCGGAAGGAAGGAGCGGCCGACCGGAAGCCTTGTGCGGAGGCCGGAAGCGGAGCGCGAAGGATCCCGACACAGCCGGCCGGTGGTTCTGGCGGCGGCCGGGCTGTAAGGGGACAAGGTGGTGGCGGTACTTGGGTTGTCTAGGCAGGTCCCAGCCGGCCAGCCGCCTCACGTTACCCACTGAAACCAGGAAACCGAGGCTGTAAGGGCAGAGATTTGCATTTTGAACTTTTTAAGTTCAAATAAGGGTTCGTTCATTCTGTCCCCAGTGCCTAAAGCAATGCCCAGCAACTAGTAGGCGCTCTGCCATGTATTTGTCAAATGAATTTGTCGTGTGCCCAAGATAACACAAGAATGTAGTAGTGCCATGATCTGGACATTTGTGAATTTGCTTCTGTAACCTGGATTCTTAACTGCTGTCATAGTTACAGTAGAACATCCCACAATAGCGAGGGCAGCAAGTCGGGGTGGGCATTAACTCCATCTTAACCTGCCTTCCCCCCATTTTTGCCCCGATTTGACCAAGGCAAATCTAATGCAGCATTTGACAGCTTCAAGTATTTTCTACTCCTGGTATGAATCGTACAGATGGAGTTCAGAAGATTCTGCTTATCTGAAGGTGGAAACCAAATCCCTGGTTATGCAGTGCAGTTCCTTCTGCCCTAGTGGGAGGCCCTCCCCAACAGAGAACACCATACCCACAAGTGGGACAGATGAGCCAGGTGGACCTGGGCAGCTGGCCCTGCCTGAGGGGGTCATCTGCCAGATTTCCTTGTAAATGAAGAAAAGACATCATGGTTTATAGTAAATATTTAATTGGTTCCATCAGCAACTCCAGCACAAGTTTTCCTGAAAGGGAGGCACAATCAAGCTACCCAGAGGTCTGTGAGGTGTGGGGATCACTGAGAAGGCCTCCAAAGTCACTGACCCCACTCCACACACCCAATGGCCCAGGAGAACGACAGTAGGGCTGATAGGCTGTGAAGAGGGAGAAAAGGAATTTGCGGTGAGGGAAATACAAGACCTAACCAGTAGCTCTGCCAGTAGGAGAGCAGTTGGGAGAGCAGGAGATTCTTCCTACACAGAAGGGCTGAACAACTCATTCAAGATCTCAACCTCTTTATGTGGGAAGAAGGAGGTGCACCTCTCTTCAGCAGTCTTGTATTAGAAGCCCCTCCCCAAGTGGTCTTATGTCACCTCAGTTCTATCTTCCCAATTCTGTATTGCAAATTCTTCACTTCAGATCCAAGTTTTGAGTTCTAAGTTCTACCTTCTGGGTTCCTGTTCCATTCTGTTTCCCTCCCGCAGACCCTTCTCAGTTCCCATTCCTTTTCTCAGCCTTTCTGGGTGGAATATGTGGACATCCTGCCAACTTAGCTGATTTGAGGGCTTTCCCTTTTGCTTCTTGAGGCGGTTCTAGGCTTTTCTCCAGCAGGAGGGTCTTGGCTCAGACTGTCTCGCAAATGGGTGGCACAGTGGAGACCAGGGAATTCCTGAGAGCCTGGCCTGGCCTAACCTCCTCCCAGACCACCTTTAACCACTGGACATGCTACCTTTTGTGCAACTTAAGCTAAACTGAGGAGTTCCAGGGTGATGATTATGAACTGGTGGCCTTGAGATGGGGAATCTTATGAGGAACCTAGACAGCATATTAAAAAGCAGAGACATCACTTTGTCAACAAAGGTCCATCTAGTCAAGGCTATGGTTTTTCCAGTGGTCATGTATGAATGTGAGAGTTGGACTATAAAGAAAGCTGAGCGCCGAAGAATTGATGCTTTTGAACTGTGGTGTTATAGAAGGCTCTTGAGAGTCTCATGGACTGCAAGGAGATCCAACCAGTCCATCCTAAAGGAGATCAATCCTGGGTGTTCATTGGAAGGACTGATGCTAAAGCTGAAACTCTAATACTTTGGCCACCTGATGCGAAGGGCTGACTCATTTGAAAAGACCCTGATGCTGGGAAAGACTGAGGGCAGCAGGAGAAGGGGACAACAGAGGATGAGATGGTTGGATGGCATCACCGACTCAATGGACTTGAGTTTGGGTAAACTCTGGGAGTTTAGTGATGGACAGGGAGGCCTGGCGTGCTGCGGTTCATGGGGTCACAAAGAGTCAGACACGACTGAGTGACTGAACTGAACTGAGGAGGAAATGTGAGAAGACATAAAAGGTTGCTGTTCCATTCAGAGAAATTAAAAACTGCTTCCTGCACAGGGGAAGGGGTGGGCAGGGAAGGTGGGAAGGGTCTGGGCAGGGCTGCAAGTCTTCATAACCCCATCATCCTTCAGCTCCCCCTTGTCTGACCTGAGCACTAGAGCCCCCCTAGAGTCCATAGGTTAGGAGAGAAAACCAAGACAGCAAAAATGGGAGCTCCTCTGTCCATGGCTCCCCTGAGGGAGAGGGGGGAGGAGATGGAGGCAGCAGCAGCATCACTGGAGAGGTGAGATCTTCAAAGGGATCATGATCCGAGACTCCATGTGCCGCACCAGGGGGACTGCAGAGAGAGAGGCAGAGATCATGAAGGGGTTGAGGTGATCCAACCCACCCAAACTGGCCCTTGAAGGAGGAGGAGGAAGCCTGGGATGCTGAGATAGAAAAGCCCCCCGCTCTCCTGGAGTGGCCTACAGAGAGCACCGCGTCTCCCAAGTTATGGGATATGAGGGGACTGAAGCTATGACAAAATGCAGCTTCAAAATTTGAAGGAAAAAAAATAACGACCATTGGTTATCAGTAAAAGTGACTTCACAGATATTATTGCTTAGGACAAGGCTAGGCAAAGAACAGGGTAGGGGGATTCAAAGGAAGAGATCAAAAAAATAATTGCAGCAGAAGGAAACAAGCTGTGAGGGTGCCCCCAAGGGGCTGAGGTTTGAAAAGCACTGATTTAGTTCAACTGACTCATGTTACAAGTGGGGACGCTGCAGTCTAGAGAGGGTCAGCCAAGGTCACCCTGGTGGTCAGACTCTTTCCTTTTGCTCAGCACTGTTAAATTTCACTGTGCTTACAAATTTCCTATAGTTCTCGTTCAAGTGCAGATCCTGATTCAGTGTGGGGAGGTGGGGTTGAGATTGGGCATTTCTAACAAGCTTCCAAGGGATGATAACACTGTCATTCGGGACCACACTGAGAAGAGCGAGGCTCCCACTAACTCATCAGGAGACGTGTTACCCAGCATTTACCAGCTGGTAAGTGTGCAAGCTCAATTATAAGTTCCTTCAGGAGAAAACAGGCTCCTGTTCTTTCTGCACTTCCTGACCCCTGCCCACCACAGTCGGCACACAATGAGAGCTCAATCAGCACGTACTTGTTCCAGGTGGTTCTCAAGAGTCCCAGCAAAGTGGCAAAACACCATAAACAAAAAACTTGCTTGAAAAAAATTGTGCTTCCTCTGTGCTGGAGTCTGGGCTATAATTTTATAAATTAGCTCCTGGAACCCTCCCTCCAGCCCTTCAAGAGAGGCACTATCACCATCGCCATCTTACAGGCAGAAAACAGCATCAGTGAGGTGAAAAACCAGGCCCAAGGTCGCACTGTGTGGTCAACCACAACACTCTGAGGCAGAGACCATCTGGCTGGATTACTGCCCCTTTGAGAACTCACCTAGGACAGCCTGCATCCTGTAGAGCCTGCCACCAGGACAGGAACCTATGAACTGTCCTCAAAGTGAGTTCCCCATCAGGAGAGGTAATCAAGTGAGGCTAGATCTCCTTACAGAGGGGATTCCATTCTCAGATGGAGCTCCTGGCACATGACTTCTGATGAGGTGCTCACCTGTATAGTAGACATTTTCGTCCCAGCCCCTCTTCCTCCAGGCAGCGTTTCTGGTCTCTTCCCGAGACTGCAGGTCCTTATAGGCTGTGGGAAAGGCTTAGGCTGAGCCTGTACCCAGCATGAGGCCCTCCTCCCATTGCCCCAAACCCTGCCCTGCTGCCTCTTCCTCCCCGGGTGCTTCCACTGTCTGCTTTGACCATCAGTACATTTACTGACAACTCCCAAATATATATCTCCAGTCCAGAACTGCTCCTCAGGCTCTAGACTCAAATATCCAGTGTCCACTTGATGTATCCACTTGACAGTGTATCTGCTGGGCACTCACATGCATCAGTGTCTCAAAGGTAACACTTCCAAGGACCAAATGTACACTCCTGACCCCTCCAACCTGCTCCTCCAGGGGTCTCATGAAGCAAAACACAGCTGCTCAAGCAGGAGTCTGGGAGTCCTGGAGTCTCCTATCCTTCCTCACCCGACGCAGACAATTCATCCACCGGTCCCACTGGTTCCACCTCCAGACCAGTGAATCTGTGGACCTCTCAGCATCTTCACTGTCCAGGCCAGCATCCTATCCCACCTGAGCTAGTGTAACCATCTCCTGATGCCCCACACCCTCTTTTGCTCCCCTACAAAGTGCTCTCAACATAGCACATGGCAGCCAGAGGAATCATTAGGACACAAATTGGGTCACATCATAGTGCTTAAAACATTGCAGCAGTCTCCTGTTGCATTTAGTATAAGTCCCAGCTCATCCTCATGGCCTGCAAGACCCAGTCCAATCTGGCCAGTCTCCATCTTCCCACTCTCTTCCCCACTCCCTCCACCCTCCACCCTCGGTGCCTTCGCTTGCCTCAAAACCCTGAAGGCCTTTCCCTGCCGCAGGGCCTTTGCACATGTTGTTCTACTTGCAATACCGTTCTCTGACAATTCACAGCTGACTCCTCATTCTTCAGCTAAGCTTACATTTCACCCCCTCAGAAAGACGTTCTGGTCTATTCAAGCCAATGGAGCTTCCCACGTTTGTCTTCATTATTTCTCCCTGTCCCTTGATGACTTGTAAAAATCCGAAATTATCCTTTTTGTTAGTTTATGTCTGAGGTGGTGTCTCCCTCTGCTAGAATATAAGCTCCAGAAGGACACTCGTGTATTCGCAGTGTCGACGCAGAGTGACCGTGGAGGAAGGAGGGGCTGCGGAGGGCTCCTGGCGGGTCCCCAACCTACCCCAGAGGTGGTGCACGACGTACAGCTCTCCTATCTGCGAGAAGAAGCCGCCCACCGCCTCCTGGTTCTCCTGCCGGTACTTGATGGCCCGGGCCCTGGGGTGGCAGAAGGGTGTGGGGCCAGGCCAGGGCGGCTGCAGACGGCCCTCTGCGGGGACCCCAGGCTGGCTTCTCAGCCACACATCGAGGGAGGAGCCCAGGGTAGAGCCCTCGGGGACTTGGGTGGCGGAGGTACAGCCGCTGGTGGTGTGTTCCACCCCAGTCGTCTGGAGGGTCCTCACCCCCTTGGTTGGACGGCCGCCTGCTCCCGGAGCCATGAGGCACAGAGGGTGCCGTGTCTGTGCCACAGCACCCGGGAAAGGAGGCCCGCCAGGCGGTCAGGGTCCCCCCAGCTCCCTGGCACGACCACTCACCAGTTGTTCCCCCACTCGATCATGGTTCCTGGCTGAAAGAGAACCGGAGCAGAGGGTGGGAATGAGCCCCTACCTGGGATTTCAAGCCTCACTGTTGGGTGGGGCTGGGAAACTGTCATGTCTCTCTAGCTCCAGGGGCTGCCTGGCCTCATTCAGGGGCCCTGACTCACACCTGAGCATGCAGGGACGCACGCGTGCGTACATACCTCTTCTGAGGCCAGAAGCCCCAGTCTAGGCTCTGGGCACTGAGCCCGACCCCCGCCCCTCGGGCTACCTGGAGAGTACACCGCTGCAGGGAGCGGGAGAGGCACCTTGAGCTTGTACGTCCTCAGCTCGTAGATGTTGGGGCCAGCTCTGGGCTGTGGCTCGTTCCAGAAGCTGAATTCGAGGAGCAGCTGGTTTCTCCTGGACAGCAGCATCTGGCTCCGCTCCTTTCGGAACTCCAGGTACTCCTGCGGGCGGGGTGGGGCCGGGCGAGCTGGGCATAGCAGCCAGGAAGTGCCCTGTCCCCCGGCAGTGTGCCCCAGGGGGTGGCGGAGGCAGCCCCCAGCACAGGGCTGAGTCAGAACCAGCATCCGGAGAGGTGTGCCAAGTGGATGCCCACGTACCTTGTTGTTCTTGAGCTTGTTCATGCAGTCCATGAGGGCTGGGTAGCCCCCCGAGAATCGCCACAGGTGTACTGTTTGCGGGGACAAGGAGGAAGGCACAGGTCAGGGGGCTGCAGGGACCCTGCTCTGCTCCGCCCCCCCCCAAGCTCCATGTGTATGTAATGGGAGGAGCCTCCAGCCAGTTCTCTGTAGCCTTGCCAGGGACAGTGCTGGGCAGGGGGATACCCCAGACCAAGCCTAGGAGACTAGGGTTTGAGCTGCAGCTCTGCCAAGTGGCCTTTGACCCCTCTAGGCCTCAATGTCCTCATCTTGAGAATAATGCACCCATCCAATCCTCCTTAAACATCAACAAGAGGATCAGAGTGAACTTGTACCCTAGGAGCTGTGGCATGCGTAAAGCTGACCCCATAGCAGGTCTACGAGGGGCAGGCTGGGTCAAAGGAAGGGGCGGGCAGATAGTGAATTGAAAAGGAAACCAAGGAACAGAACAGCACATGCAGTATGCTACCACGTGTGTTTAGGCAGGGAGGGACATATCCAGAGATGCTGGTCTGTGCACCGTCTCTCAATGGAGACCCAAGAGACTGTGACAGGAGATGCCCTTGGACCAGAGAACTGAGGCTTCAGGATCTCAAGCAGGAGGAAGGCTTACTTTCCAATGAAAATTCTTTGCGCCATTTGCATTTTTTCATCACAGCCTCTGTACTGGGTTCTTACAAGTTCATTAAAATGTGGATTCCTCAGGGGGTCTGCTCCCCACCTGATTCTACAAGGTGCAAAACCCTTCAAGACACCCAAAATATAGACATGCTTTAAAATTCAAGCTCTCATTACTCAAAGTTCATGTCTCAATTAGCAAACACTTAGAGGAGAATCCAAGAAGTACTGCAGGAAATGATTAAATTGTACCTAAAAATGGGAAAACTGTAAGAGGTGCAATGGAAGACAGTGGCTTTTTCTTACCCCCCTATCAATGTGTCAATGATTACTGAAACAGAATAAGTGATTAAGAGAATCTACCTAACTGCAGATCACAGATTAAAAAAAAAAATACTATTATCAGGGCAATTGAAGGATGAGATATGTTGTCTTGCGAGATAGTGAGCTCCCCATTGCCGGGAGTGTTCAAGGGAAGCACAGAGGACCTTCTCTCAGGGCCAGAGGAGCGCCCGTACTATCTGCAGTCTAATCAGCACTGTCTGAAAGGACTCTCTACAATGATGGAAAAGTTCTACAGCTGTGTTGACCAAGATGGGAGCCACAAGTCACATATTTCTATCAATGGGCACTTGAAATGTGGCTTCTGCTGACTGAGGAACTGAGTTTTCCTCTTTATTTAACTTTACTCAATTCAAATTTAAATAGCTGCATGTGGTTAGTGGTTACCTCCCAGGACAGCACAGATCTAAACGCCAAGGCCCCTCAGAGTGGCTGGGACGCTGTGAGTGAACCAAATTCATGTGTGGGTCCTCACAGCTGGTGCCAACTGACATGGCATGGGGCCCGCTGGGGGTATTCCTGAAGCTGCACAGAACCAGCTCAGACAAGAGGCCCTGTTCATTCCATAAATATGTACGGCATCCTGGGGATTCTGTGGTGAAGACAGACAGGCAGGGACCCTGCCCGCTGGGCAGCAGACACAACAGGGCACATGGTCAAGGCTATGGAGAGGCAAGTCCTGGGGGCTGGGGAGACGGGAGAGCTGCCTCACTCAGCTTGGGTGGAGGGAATCAGGGGAGGCCTCCAGGAGGAAGTGATGTCTACACTGAAATAAAAGGTGAGTAGAGGAGTGAGCCTAGAGAAGGCAATGGAACCCCATTCCAGCATTCTTGCCTGGAAAATCCCATGGACGGAGGAGCCTGGTAGGCTGCAGTTGAGGTCGCTAAGAGTCGGACACGACTGAGCGACTTCACTTTCACCTTTCACTTTCATGCATTGGAGAAGAAAATGGCAACCCACTCCAGTGTTCTTGCCTGGAGAATCCCAGGGACGGGGGAGCCTGGTGGGCTGCCGTCTGTGGGGTTGCACAGAATCGGACACGACTAAAGTGACTTAGCAGCAGCAGCAGAGGAGTGAGCCAAGAGAAGGAGGCCAGGGGGAGAGAGCTTCAGGCTGATGAAAGAGTGGGAACAACAGCCTGGAACTAGAGGGAAAACCTGTCCACCTGAAGAACGGAAAGGAGTCTGGGGTGGGATGGTGGAGCGAGCAGGAAGATGTGGGAAGAGGAGACCCGAGGCAGGATAGGGGAGGGCTCAAGAGCCTCGTGGGCCACCTCAAGGGCAGAGGGAGCCATCACGGAGCTGTGAGCAGGGGAGGAAGCCCCTGAGGACTGCGCTGAAGACCCCTTTGGGCACCGCTGTGCAGGGGGCGTGGAGGGCAGCCACCTGTGGTGGGCGTGGGCAGCTCACCTGCCTGGTCCTGCTCCCCGTACCACGTGTTCCAGTTGCCCACGAGCGAGCAGGGGTAGTCCTCATCCAGGTGCAGCTTGGGCAGCACGGCCTCCCTGTGGGGGGGGGGGGGAGCCACAGAGAGGGGAGGGCTCACACCAGCCCCCAGAGCCCCTGGGATAAGGCCTCCGACTCAGGCCCTCAGGACGGTAACATGCAGAGGCTGCACGGGAGGACGTGTGGCTCTGAAATCTACAGCCCCCGGATTTGTGCAGGGGGAACAGGGCTGGGACAGAGTCCCCCATCCGGGCAGGGGCGGGGACAGGAGGGCTAGGGTCACTCACGTCAGGCTGTTGTAGGCGTCCAGACACTCGGGCTTCACATTGTGAACTGCAACCAAGGACCGAGAGCGGGCGGTGAGGCGAGGGGGACGGGCTGTCTGTGGGACGCTGGGATGGGGGAGCCCCACAGGGCCCGGGCTCCCAAGACAGGTCAGATGTCCCAGACCCTCTTCAAGTCCCAGCAGGAGCCTCACAGGCCCCCAAAGGCCCCTGGGAAGGCAGCTCGGCTGACTCAGCAGCCACTCACACTGGATCTTGTAGAGGTTGCTGGTCTCCTTCTTGGACAGCAGCGTGGAGTGGGCATCCTTCCTGGGGTCCACCTTGTGTACAAAGAGGGACCGGAACCAGCTGCCTTCATTGTCCTTGGAATAGAAGCTGCGGGGCAGAGGAGTTCAAGGGGGACCTGCTTCCATCTGCCCAGATGCCTTGCTCCCCGAGGCTGGTGACCCACTTTTCTGGGAATGGGGCCATGGAATCCCATGGCAATTCCAGCGGAGTTCATGTCACTGGAGCCAGCCACGGGGATCCTGGCTGCCCAGTTCACTTCTTGAAACTCTGCAGAGCCTCAGGAGGCCAGGAGAGGCAGCCCCACCTCCCGCCTCTCTCTCCAGCTTCCCCTTCACCCCCTTCCAAGAGGTCCTCCACTTGGACCCTGCAACTGTATCCCTTGCCAAAAGGGTGAACCCCAAACACATCTTGCCTGGTGTCCAAAACCTGTGACGGCCCAGCCTACCCTGGCGGCCTCCCCTCCAGTCCACCCCTACCTGTGTATCCTGCCCTCCACGTGTGCTGTCTCTGAACACACCAGACTTTCACTCTGCTTTCCTTGCAATTTCTGTCCCTTTCTGATGAGAAGCCTGCACTCACAGTCCTCCAGTGTTCACACTACACGTGGCCTGTGCCTGATGCCAGCTACCACAAATGGAGCACCTGAGACGCGCAAGCTCTGTCCTTGAGGAGGTCACAGTCCGCTGGGGAGAAGTGGACCTTGGAACACAGTTAACAGCCAGAGGTTTCTGGGAGAGCCCAGAGGAGTGAGCCTGAACTTGGCCCCTGGAAGTCTGGGTGAGCTCTCCAATGGAGGTGATCTGGCCACTTTCCAAATCTCCAGGGCTGATTTGGCAGATAAAGGCAGATAGAGGGGGTCAAAGGCATCAGAAGGCGAGATTCATTCATTCATTCATACAACGCTTAATTGGCAAAAACCTGCCCCGTGCACGTTGCTGAATGAATGAATGACATGCCTTGTTCAGAGCAGGGGAACCAATCACCAGGTCCTGCCGGATCATAATTGCACTCCCCCCACACAAGGTTCCAGCAGGGGTGGGGTTATGTTTAAGCTGCCAGAGGTGGTGAATCACCTTACTTAGCAGCAGCGGTGAGGCTTGTAGCCAGGCCTGAAACGCCAGCCTCCTGCTAGATGAGTTCCAGTCCAGGAGCCTGGCTGTGGGGCCCCATCAGCAACTTCTCTTCTTTCTCCAGCCTTTTCTGTGGCTAGAATAAGTGTCTTGCAAATCAAAGTCTTGCTTCTCTCCAAAATATGGATTGAGCACTGGGACTGATAAAATCTGAACAGCATCTTAAAAATGATGATATAGTTGTATGAGCACAGAGGAAAGATAAGTAAGGATTTGTTCCAAACTGGTTTTTTGTTGGTTTGTTTGGTTTTGGCCATGCCAGGCAGCCTGCAGACTCCCAGTTCCTTGACCAGGGAATGAACCCAGGTCACAGCAGTGAAAGAATCGAGTCCTAACTAGACCACTGGGGAACGCTCAGCCCCACACCGTTAATCTTGCTTACCTGAGAGAGGGAAGAGAAAGATGGTTAAACTTTTCGTTACTCATGATAATTTTTTGTAAAGCTAAAAAAAAAACCACTTTTAAGTATTTTTGAATTCATAGGCTTTCTATCGTTGTGTGTGTACTGCTTCATTAAAAACAAAAAGACATGAACTTCCCTGGTGATCCAATGGTTAAGACTCTGAACTTCCACTTCAGGGGGCTAGGGTATGATCCCTGGTCAGGGAACTAAGATCCTGCATACCATGCAGTCAAAAAAAAAAAAAAAAAAATCTGAAAAAGAATATATATATGTACATGTATATATATATATATGTACATATATATATATAAAGTCATTATATATAAAAAGCCATTGAAAAAAAAAATATATATATATATATACATACACACACACATAAAGTCATTCCTTTTTCCAGGGGATCTTCCTGACCCAGCGATTGAACCTGGGTCTCATGTACTGCAGGCAGATTCTTTACCATCTGAGCCACCAGGGAAACTCTACACTTCAATGTTTTAAAATTTTTAATTTAAAAAAAGAAAAAAAAAGGCAGTTGTCATCAGATGGCCAATGTGGTCTGTGGAAACGGGACCACAATAAGGCAGCCTCACTATGGCTAACATTGGCTGAGGATAGCCTCTGCCAGGGACCCATCATCAGCTTGTCAGTACCATGAACCTACACAATGATAGTATAATGTTAATACTATTCATATCCCCATTTTTTGAGGTAAGAAAATAGAAGGTCATGGGTGGGAGGGTTAAGAAACTTGTCCCAGGTCACACAGCAAATTGGGGCAGAGAGCTCAGGCAGGAGCCCAGAGCTCTTTCCTATAAAGCCAGCTCCACCCTCAGACCAGGCACCAACCGGGAGAACTAGCATCAGGGAGATACTATAAAGAAGCAGGTGTTTTTTTTAACAAAGCCGCCGGTAGAGGGACCTGACCTTTGGTTTGAATGTAGAGAGGCTGTTTCTCCTGGAAGGGGTGATGACAGAGAGGACAGCAACTCCTACTCTGTGTCAACCAAGACCTTTGCTCCAGGACTGGGCCTTGAGTAATTTATTAACATCAGCAATGACCAAGATAAACAGCTAAGCGGCCAGCCCTGGAGAGAGAGCCTGGAACCTGGGTGCTGGGGAGTGAGGGCGGAGTGTCCAGGAGCTCCCAACTCTTCCCACCTCAGTCTCCTCTTTCCTGCCTCCGCATCTCGGTTTCCCCACGTGTCAAAAGAGCAGAGCAGAGCAGCCTATCTCCAAAGATCTTTTCTGCAGGTCTCAAGGAGATCCCAGTGCAGGGTCTGAACTTGAAGCTAGCATCTGTGGGTTCACATTTCAAGAGTTCAAATTTCACTTTTTCAATGAAATCACAACATTCTCCTGCCCTTGAGCTCCCCAGCCCTTCTCACCTTGCTCCCTATTTTTTCCATAGCTCCTTCTAACGCACTGTAGAATTTGGGGGTTTATTATGTGCCGTTTGCTGTCTCCCACTGGCAGCATCCCCATGTAGCCTGAGATGCTATCTCTCCTGTGCATCCCCGCCGTCTCCCCAGGGCCTGGAGGAGAGCTGGGCACGTGGCACGCGCTCAGCCCATGCTGGGGGAATGAGTGAAGGAGTGTGGGGGAGCTAAGACAGAGCTGCATGAAAATGGTGACACCTGGGAGGTAAAGAAAGCAGAGAGAGGGTGGACCTGGGCCCCGTGTGTGGACTCGGGACACAGGGCCCCTTTCTATCCCCACCACCACCAGCAGAGTTACTGCGTAAGAGCACAGGTTCTGGACAAATCCAGGACTAATCCCAGCTCAGCGTCACCTCTCTGAGCCTCATTTTCCTCACCTATAAGGGCAATAGGATGTGCCTTGCAGAGATAAAGGCAGACACAGCAGGGCAGCTAGCATCACTGCTCCTACCTAACTGATCTAGCTCCCACTTGTCCTCTTTTTGCCTAACCTGCCCATCGGTTTTGTAAAGTACCACGGTTGTGATGCTATCTGTCTACTGGAAAATCTTCTATTGTTCCCTACTGCCCGTAAACCAAGGCTGATGTCTCCACTTGCTCTAATCTATTTGCCAAGCTTTCAAGTCAATTCCCTTTTTAAAAAACATTTTTCTTTTTCATTTGTTTTTGGCTGCCCTACTCAGCTTGTGGGTTCTTAGTTCCCCAGCTAAGGACTGAACCCATGCCTCCAGCAGTGGATGTGTGGAGTCTTAACCACCGGACCGCCAGGAAGTCCCCACTTCCCTTCTAAATTTGGTGACCACCGATCCAAGATTCCCTATCATTAGCATCACCTGAGAACTTGTTGACTGCCCTGCTGGCTCAGACGGTAAAGCGCCTGCCTGCAATGCAGGAGACGTGGGTTCAATCCCTGGGTCGGGAAGATCTCCTGGAGAAAGAAATGGTAACCCACTCCAGCATTCTTGCCTGGAAAATCCCATGGATGGAGAAGCCTGGTAGTCTACAGTCCATGGGGTCGCAAAGAGTCGGACAGGACTGAGCAACTTCACTTAACTCACTTAAGAACTTGTTAAAGCTTTTCCAGCTCCACCCAGAACCACTGCAGCAGAAACTCTGGGGGCGGGCATAGCAATCTGGGTTTTAACAAGTCTGCCAGGGGATTCTGATGCATGCTCAGGCTTAAGATCACTGCTCTAAGGTAGTCCCAATTTCTTTCTTTTTTCATGTAATCTCAGTAAATTATCCCAGAAACACCAAAGATCCTGCTATCTAAACTATATTAAGAATGCCCCTCAGGCCTAGAAAAACCAGTTCAACCCCTTCCATAAAAACACCTCTCCTGGGACTTCCAGTAGTGCAGGGGGCACAGGTTAGATCTCTGGTGGGTAACTAAGTTCCCACACGCTGCGTGGCCAAAAAACAAACAAAAAGCCCACCTCTCCTATTTCCCCCTCAGCCTGGAGCGAACATTCTCCACCCTCTAGGGTACCCAGCACAATGCTTTTAGCCTGGGAGTTGTTGAAGAAATGTCTGCCCCAGATGAGAACTTTATAGAGACACACTGGCACTCTCAACAGGGATCAATGGTCTGGCGCCACCCCACATGAAACTGCTGTGGAATGTTCTAGATTGATATGCTGGGAAGCTTGGCTCTACGCATATTCTGAAACACTCTTTGTCTGGAGTCGGCTGACTTTAGAAAAGGACCATGTTTCCGTTTACTGCCCCACAAGTATGTTTTCGGGCTTCCCTGGTGGATCAGACAGTAAAGAGTCTGCCTGCAATGCAGGAGACCTGGGTTCGATCCCTGGGTCGGGAAGATCCCTGAGAGAAGGGAATTACTACCCACTCCAGTATTCCTGCCTGGCAATTCCATGGACAGAGGAACCTGGTGGGCTACAGTCCATGGGGTCACAAGGAATTGGACATGATGAGTGACACACACACACACACACACACACACACACTTATGTCTTTAGAAGACATACAGGGAGAACTAAAGTCCTCTTAACAACAGGATTACTGATGTAGGAATAACAACTGCTGCGTATTGAGCACTTACTATGTGCTGAGAACTGATCTTCACAATATGTTTTTGAGAAAAATGAGGCTAAAAAACAAACAAAACCAAAAACAAAATAGAGAAAAATGAGGCTCAGAGATGTACTTATTCAAGGATGCCTTATTCAAGGACAATTAACCAATGGCCAAGAGGATTTCAATCCAGGTCCATCTGACTTCAAAGCCCACACTGTGTTTGGACCCCAGTAGCCCCACTCTGAGCTCAAGAGGCCAGAGGGCCCCTCTAGGGACTCCTGAGAGATGGGGGCAGACACAAGTTGGCAGGAGGGGATGTTCCCAGATATCCAAGGTGGGAACCAGGGCACAGGTAACTTCACAGCAGTCCTTGAGGGACTTGATAAGTATGAATCCAAGCACCTTCACAGGAATCCTGCGGAAAACACCTGGCAGGGACCTCCAGTCCTACTTCAGAGAGAAGGAAACCAAGGGCCCTAGAGGTTCAGCACCTCATCCAAGATTACGGAGCAGCAGGCTGCCTATTCGGCCTAGGTTCCTCCTGTGGTCTCTTGATGTTCTGTCTCTACCACCAACCAGTTCTGGAGGCTAGAGAAGTGAGGCCCACCCCCAGCTGGGATTTCCTCATCTGGAAAATGAGGGGCTCATAGCACATGACCTTCCCAAAGCCCCTTCAGCCCTGACATTATGAGGGACTCATGAAGACACTGCTTGAGACATTAGGCTTGGGCAAGGGGCAACATTTGTTACAAGTTCACCAAGCGCTGGGTACCTTACACATGTGACTACTAATCCTCAACAACTCTGTGAAATCATCCTACTTTTTCACCCCCATTTTACAGATGAGGAATCTGAGACTTCAAGAGGCCAAATAATTCATGCAAGGTCACCTCACTGAAAAAGGCTGAGTTGGGTGTGTAGGTGCCAGGCAAACTCCAGGTTCTCTCCATGTCATGAGCTTTCTCCCCAGTTACTAAGCCGTCAAACCAGTCCATCCTAAAGGAAATCAACCCTGAATATTCACTGGAAGGACTGATGCTAAAGCTGAAGCTCCAATACTTTGGCCGCCTGATGCGAAGAGCTGACTCATGGGAAAAGACCCTGATGCTGGGAAGAATTGAGGGCAGGAGGAGAAGGGGGTGACAGAGAATGAGATGGCTGGATGACATCACTTACTTGATGAATATGAGTTTGAACAAACTCTGGGAGATAGTGAAGGACAGGGAAGCCTGGACTCCCGCAGTCCATGGGGTCGCGAAGAGTCGGGCACAACTTAGTGTGTGAACAACAACAGGGTGGATGGGGAAGCTGGCGCAGGAAATGGCAACCCACTCCAGTATTCTTGCCTGGATAACCCCATGGACAGAGGAGCCTGGCGGGCTATAATCCAAGGGGTCGCAAAAGAGTTGGACACAACTTAGCAACTCAACAACAGGGTGAGGGCACACGCTTGGCTCCTATTCCCCAGCCTTCCTGACCCCACGGCACAACACTCTATAACATCTTACAGCAAGGTCTAACAGAACTCACAGCTTCACACCTAGGCTGCTGGGCAGGACAGACCCCTGCCTCCTTTCCATAGGTTGGGGGACAGGTGTCCTCACTTCTTTGGCAACTGTTCTTGAGCACACACTGTCCTGAGCCCTGTGCCAACGGCTGGGGAAACAGAAAGATGAGGTGATGGTCCAGTGGGAGGGACAGGCAACTGTTTAGAGGGTGGGAAGAGCAGAGATGGGGGAAGAACAGGGCGCCAGAGGGAGGAGGGCGGGGCCGCCCAGGGCCAGTCAGGGAGGCGAGGGGAGGGACCAAACAGAAGGCCAGGCTCAGGGCCTGGTCCAGCCTGCCTCCCTCCCCAAGAAGGCCACCAGCTGCGGCGCAAAGACCACAGGGGTGTCAGGAGGCCTGGGTCCAGACTCGGTGCCACCACAGGGCGGCGGGGGGAGTGACCTTGGGAACTCCCACCCTTTCTCAGGCTTCCTCTGCTCCCCGTGTGCTGTTTATTGTTGGGGAGCCAAGGATCTGTGCAGCCATGGCCCTTGGGAATCTCCACGGCTCCCCTACCTCTGACCCCCAGCACTAACCGAGGGAGGAGCCGCCTGTCGTAGAAGTCCCCCGGGGGCGCCCATCTCACAATCAAGGCAAAGGCCGGGGAAAGGGCCACTGCTCCCGCCCTGGGCCAGGTCCCACTCCCCACGGCCCAGGGCCTGCCCCTCCCATTCACCCTGTCCTTCAGTCTCTGCCCAGAGCCAAGTACCCAGCAGGGCAAAAGCCCTGCGCCCACCTTTCCCACCTCCCCCATTCTTTGCCCAGACCTCCTCCCAGGCTGAGAGATTCGCCCTCGGCCTCTAACCATTAGACTGCAAGCCCGAGTCTCTGCCCATCCCCCAGGCCCAGACCCTGGCTCTCACCCTTGCAGCCCCCAGGCGCCCCGCCCCGCCCCAGGCCCAGCCCGGTTCTTACCGCGCCGCAGCCACCGCCGCAACGTCCCGGGGGCCCGGCCCCGGGCCCCCCAGCAGCCGCCGCGCCGCCACGGAGATGCTGCACAGACGCGGAGCCATGTTGGAGCGCTGCAGGTTGGAAGGAGGCCCCGCCCCCGAACCCGGCAGTGGAGGAGGGACGTGGGTAAGCCCCGCCCCACCGGCTCGCCCGCCTCCCTCGCCAGCCGAGCAGGTGGGCGTAGTCCCCGCTCGTCCTGCAACGCAGATGCAGGTTAGAGGTCCGGGTTCTCGTCCTCCGAGCCGCTGCAGCTCTGCTACAGACTTGCTTAGTGGCCTGGAGCAAACCCTTCGCCCAGTCTGGGCCTCAGTGTCCACCCTGTAAAATGGGAGCATTGAACAATAACAACAGGGCTTATTAAAGGGGCCCTCCAGGGTAAGCGGCAGAGGGTCAGTAACCCCGCTTGAAATGGTATACAGTTCTGTGCGCCTGTGAATTCCTGCGGGGGTGGGGCCCAGGTACCGTTTATCATAGTCTGAAAGGAACAAACCCCCTAACAACGTGAGACAGATGGACAAGGCTCTGGGTTGCAGGGACACTTTCTCCCCATCATCTCCTTTTCCCTTTCCATCCCCCTCTACCATCTCTGCCTGGGCCTCCTGGAACTCCATGCCCTCCTCCTGCTCTGCCCAGGTCGTGTGCCAAACTTCCAAACTAGTCCTCTCCCAGCCCACGGTCCCCCAGGTCACAGACCTCAGTGGGAGCGGAGGGCCTGCAGACCCTATGGGTGGGGGGCAGCAGGAGCCTAATAACTTCCAGAGAATATGTGTGTCCACACCCCCCAAAAGACTGTCCACCCACTGAGGCTGAGGCTGATGGTAGTTCCCTCCTGATATGCTTCGGGTGGAGGAGTGCCCTGGCAGGCATTAATTTTGTGATTCCTTCAGCAAATGTTGAGTCCACGTGGCTAGCCCATGTGCTGAGCCCTGAGACGCCAAACATGGCCAGAAAGACAAGCCCCCAGCCCTCTTGGAATTTGAGGCCTGGCCTGGCTGGGGGGACAAAATCAAATTGGCATTGACCCCCCTGGGGCAGAGACCTTAGACCTAACCCCTCTCCCCTCTCTTGCCTGACATGCTAAAAATATTGGCTGAAAAAGTGAAAAATATGCACAAAAATATTTTTTGCCAATTGTGATACAGGCTATGAAAAAATATGGAGAGCTATGAGGACTTATATTGGGGAGGGGGAAAGAGAAAATGTGAGGTTCTATATAGACTTTGAGGGTCAATGATAATTTCTATAAGGAAGTGAGGCCTGTACTATTTTTTTCCCTTGTGTTTTCTGAAGCTGCTACAATGAATATGTATTCTTTGCAGTATTTATTTTAAAAGGATACTGTATATCATCATGATAAACAAAAAACCCAAGTCAACTGTGATACACAGGCAGAACCAAAAGAATAAACGCAATGAAGATACTGTATCGCTGGTGCTTTAAAGCTAAGGCAGAAGGTTACTCTCTCTGTTAACACACAGCTGGGCCCAGTTGCTCCTTGGGTTATTAGAAGAACCAAAAGGGACCATGACTGAAGCGTTCCCAGACACGGTCACGCAGGAAAATCTCAGATGGGGAGACGGAGGTGCAGCAAGTAACATGTCACTGGTGTCCTGCGGTGGAGGAACCAAGTGTGGCCAGTGAGGAGAGGTGGGCGTGACAGCTCCCCGCGCCTCACAGGTGGCCTGACGTTAGACCTAGGCTGGGCTTCCCTGGAGGCTCAGAGGTTAAAGACTCTGCCTGCAACGCAGGAGGCCAGGTTCAATCCCCGGGTCGGGAAGAACCCCTGAAGAAGGGAATGGCAACCCCTTCCAGTATTCTTGCTAGAGAATCCCATGCACAGAGGAGCTGGGCGGGCTACACTCCATGGGGTTGCAGAGCAGAGAGAGTCTGCCAGCAGGGAGCAGGGCAAGGAGAGCCTTGCGCAGAGAAAGCAGTGTGTGCACAGTATGTGAAAGGGCCCCCCGGAAGGAACGGGTTCAGGCTTGTTCAGCAACATCGGGTGTCATCAGAGGGTGGAGATGACATGGAGGCGTCTTCTCGCTCAGTACAAGGAGTGGATGGCCTTGGTGACCTGTCACTGGACTGTGACAACAGACGCTGCACAGCAACTAACTGGTCATTTGGTTATCAAGCCACGGGCAGCCAGGACCCCTGGACAGGGAAGGGCTTATCCTCCAGGTCTGGTGTGAGAGTCCTCTCCAAACTCTTGGTGTTCTGGCCGTCTCTGCTGGGGAAAATGAGGAAGGGATGGCCTAAAGCCTCCCCATGCTGGTCTAGGCATTTCTTTTAAATGTATTTATTTTTGACTGCACTGGGTCTTTGTTGCTACACTCAGGCTTTCCCTAGTTGCAGTTAGCGGCTGCTACTCTTTAGTTGCGGTGCACGGGCTTCTCACTCCCGGCACTTCTTTTGATTCAGAGCACAGGCTCTGGGGGGTAGGGTTCAGTTGCCCCAAAGCAGGTGGAATCCTCTAGGACCAAGGATCAAAGCTTATCCCCTGCACTGGCATACAGATTCTTAACCATTAGACCACCAGGGAAGTCCTAGACTAGGCATTTCTAAGACAATCTTCCTATCTCCCACTGTTTGAGTGGGATAGGAAGATCAAACCAGGTCCTCCATGAGTGCGTTCTCACCCCTGACCAGATCAGATGGATGAGTCTCCATATCCAGCCCAGTCTGGCCAGCTCACTGGAAGTGCAGCTTTGAGACCTCCATTCCCACCCCAGCTAGGGAGACCAGCTCACTCCAGTTTACCCCAGACTGTCCCCATTTGGACACTAAATGTCCCCTATCCCAGGAATCCCCTCTATGCTGGGCAAGCTGGGATGTATGGTCATCCTAACCATGGCTCTTTCCGTCTCCCTGGCTCACACATCCACTCCACCCCCAAAATCTTTTCCTCGCTTAACTAACCCCCCGACTCTGCTGGAAGGAGCAGGGCAGGGGGGGCTGACTTCGTGGCACTCAGTGACAGGCAATGCCTGTTAGCTTGGCACCTGGTGGGAATGGGTCCCTGCCCCGTTGACCGTGCATCCTGGGCAGTAAACCAGATGGATGTTGGATGACAGTTCTGCAAGTAAGGAGTAATATAATTAGACCATTTCCAATTACTGTGGAATAAATCATCCCAAAATTTACCAGCTTGAAACAATGAACATTTATGAGCTCACACGGTTCCAAATGGGTCAGGAATTCATGAATGAGTGGCTGGCCAGGCTTCTTCCGGCTCAGGGTCTTTCACCACATTGCAGTCAATATGTTGGCTTGGGCTGTGGTCATCTGAAGGCCTGACGGAGGTTGTGGGATCTGCTTCCCAGGTGGGCTGCTCACATGCCTAGCAAGTCAGTGCTGGTTGTTGGGGGCTCTTGGCCAGCGACCTCAGTTCTTTGCCACATGGGCCTCTCCAAGGGCTGCATGGGTGTCTTCACCATATGGCAGGTGACTTCCCCCAGAGCGAGTGATCCAGGAGAGAGTAAGAGGGAACCTTCAAGGACTTTGTGAATTGACCTTGGAAATCATACCCTGTCATTTCTGAATATCTCTTTGGTGATACATGTCAGCCCTGCTCCGTGTGGGAGGGGGCCTTACAAGGATGTCAATACCAATGTGTAAAATTCTTGGGAGGAGTCTTCCCTGGTGGTCCAGTGGTTAAGAATCTGTCTTGCAATGCAGGGGACATGGAGAGGTTTGATCCCTGCCTGGCCCAGGAAGATCCCACAGGCTGAGGGGCAACTCAGCCCATGCACTACAACTACTGAATCCCGCGTGCTCTGGGGCCTGCGTGCCACCGAAGTGAGAAGCCTGCGGACTGCTACTAGAGGGCAGCACCCACTCACCGCAAGTAGAGAAAGCCCACACGTAGCAGTGAAGACCCAGGGCATCCAGAAATTAAAAACAAAACGATTCTTGGCAGCTGGCTGCTACAGTTAGGTTGTGCACTAGGCCCAGCTTAATTACTGGGATTGGACTCAGATGTCTAAGCCATCACCTACGAGCACGTCTCCCCAGCATCACTGTTCTTCTGTCCTAGGGTCTCTCCCCTACGAGTTCCCCACCCGCCCACCAGAGTCTGTGACATCTCTTTCTCCTGAACCTGTTCATCCTCCCCTCTCTGCAGGGAGCTGACCCATTTCTTCTCCCTCCCTCCCTCCTTTCCCAAAGCCACCCTCATGGAATCTGCCTTCATGACTCGTTGCCAAGCCCTGCTGCCCAGTCCGTGAAATGAAAAGACAGGAACCGGGGACAAAGACAGATGGAGCAAAAAGGAGCAGGCAGGTTCATAAGTGTAAAATATGGACAAACCTGCCACCGTCTATTCCCTGGGACAAATAGATTATCACGGAGCGGGCTGCAGAAGTGCAGAGACAAAGTACCCAGCTGCGGCGGTGTGACCCACTCCTTATTGATGGGCTTTTATGCCCGGGCCCGACTGCTCTCTGAGAATTGCATCCTCCAGCCATGAGACCCCCAAACAGGAGTGACAGGACACGAAAGCGTTTATGTCTCAGCTCGGGCATGAGCCACACTGCCAGGTCCCAGCCTTTCTGCAGGATAAGTCATATGCAGACATGAATTATGGGACTTTGACATAGTGCCACATAAAAACATGATCAAAGTGCTACTCCATGTATACATATTGGAAATCATACGAATGCTAGAGAAAGAAAACATTTTCCCTTGTTAAACACCAAACCATTTCGAGGCTGTTAGCGTGGAATGAATGATAAGCTGCATTCACTCTGCGGCCACCGGGCAGAGCTGCTGCAGCTGAGAAACAACCACATTCCATGTCAACTCAGAGCAAAACACCCCATGGTTAGCGCGCTTTGGACTCCAGCGACCGCTTCTTGTGCACTGAGCTGTTATTTTGCCGTTCACTGTCATTATAAACCCACTTTAAAAAGCTATAAAAATGTCATTCAACAACATCACTCGCAAAGTAGGTATGCCAATGCTGAAAATCACGCCCCCAAATCAATACTTTGGAGCAGCTATCAGATGTGATAAAACACCGCAGGGAAGACTGAACTGGCTCTGAGACAGGTGCTGCTGTAAATGTAGGAGAGTGTCCACAGGTAGAGATAATGCCGCAAAGATACACAGCAAAAATATGGGGGGCTTCCCTGCTGGGCCAGTGGCTAAGGCTCTGAGCTCCCAATGCAGGGGCCCCGTGCTCAATCCTTGGTCAGGGAACTGGATACTACATGCCACAACTAAGGAGTCACAAGCTGTAACTAAAGATCCCACATGCCACAACTAAGACCTGGTGCAGCCAAATAAATAATAAATTTTTTTATGAAAGCAAAAATATGGTAAGATGGGCTGTTGATTTACGAACTGTGTGTGTGTGCATTTTATTGCTTCCTTCACATTCATTCCTACAGGGAAACATGAGTTTTTGAATACAACATTTTGAATCATGTAAAGCTTATAGAAGGCATCCTTCTTGAAAAATGTGACTTCCCTGGACCTCCCCAGATATCCTGGCATAAATACAGCTCCTGGAGCCCACCCCTAGAAGGGGAATGTTATGGGTTTAATTGTGTCCTGTGAAATAATAGAAAATCTTTAGTCTCTGCCTCTAGTTCCCAGCACTGAGCTTCTAAAGCTCTTATAATTTCCTAAGTAATAAAAGCACCAGGAGCCTTTCCTGTTCAGATATTTGGTCTTGGACCCTGGTTCCTGACACAGAGCCTCTAAATCACTGGGAACTGCCTGGGTGATGGGGACATCTTTTGCTCTAATGAGGTAATGCTTCGTGGGCTCCTGCATGGGGTGGTTGCCGTCATTTAGTCACTAAGTCGTGTCCAACTCTTTGCAACCCCATGGACTGCAGCCCACCAGACTCCTCTGTCCATGGGATTTTCCAGGCAAGAATACTGGAGTGGGTTGTCATTTCCTTCTCCAGGGGATCTTCCTCACCCAGGAATCGAACCTGGGTCTCCTGCACTGCAGGCAGATTCTTTACTACTGAGCCACCAGGGAAGCCCCCTAAACGGGGGCTAGACTAGAAAGATTAAGCCATCGTTAGAAGTATGAAGCTTTTAGCTTTTCCAGTCCACATCCTCCTGGAAGGGGAAGAAAGCTGAAAACTGAGCTGATAAAGGATCATGCCTACATAAAGCCTCCATAAAAATCCCAAAAGTATGGGTGGGGTTTAGGGAGTTTCCAGGTTGGTGAACACATTCACATGCATAAGTATGAATAGGCATAAGCATGAATTTTAGGCCAGAAAACAGTCACTTTTCAGGGCCTGCTGTAGACAGGACCCCTTGTAACCTGCAGCAGACAGGACCCCTGGGTAACCTGCAGCACACTGTCCTTGGAAGTCCATGGGTCCCAGGCTAAAGACCTGGGTTTGGGATCCAGGTTGTTTCTCTATTTGGTTGTGCAGTCTTTGGCCAATAACTCAGCTTTGGGTCCCTCTGTTTTCTTAACAGTCAAATGGGCTTAATAACCTACATAATCATGAGAATTAAATCAAACTGCATACATATGAAAATGAACCCCAGTTAAAGTTCCACTTATGTATGCTGTGAGGCTTTGCTATTTGCAATCCCATTTCCTATTCTCCTCATTAAAAAAAAATTATTTATTTATTTGGCCACGTTGGGTCTTAGCTGATGTGGGCTCCAGAGCACGAAGGCTCAATAGTTGTGGTGTGTGGGCTCAGTTGCCCGTGGCCTGTGGGATCTTAGTTGCCCAGCCAGAGACTGAACCCACTTCCCCTGCATTGCAAGGCAGATTCTTAACCACTGAACCACTGGGAAGTCCCCTTATTCTCCCCTTTTAAGTGTGGATAAAATGGACGTCCAGAAATGGTAAAGACCTTTGCAAGGTTATACAGCACATTAGACACAGAGGGCACTCAATAAATACTAATTTCCATTTAAGAGGGGCTTTTAAACATGTCATATTATTATTATGCTCATTTTTACAGATGAGGTAACTGAGGCTCAGAGAAGCTAAATTATGCCCAAGGTCAAGGTAAGGTAGAAATTCCTACTCAGGTCTGCCTGCTTCCAACACTGCAGGTGACAGCCTGGGCAAATTCAAGGATCTTCAATCCCAGGCCCGAAATGAAGAGAGAGAGCACCACTGAGGTGCTCTCTACAAGGTTCCCGAGGCCTCGGAGGTTCTTACACACCCTTATTCGGGTAGGAGCTGTTATCTGCAGATACTTTCATCCAGGTTCAGTGCTTCAAGGCAGCACACTGGAACATCCCAACTATGACCTCAGAAGTCTTAGGTTCCAGGTCGCACATCCTTGACCTTCCCATATAAGGGACAGTCGGCACCTCCTGGTTGTCACAACAACAACAAAATCTCCAGATGCTGTCAAATGCCCTCGTGGAGGGAAAAGATGTCACCTGGAGCACCACAGATCTTCTAAAAGAATGAAGGAACAAAATGTAAGTCAGGTGAGATCTGGATTAAAAACAGTCCTATATGCACATTGCAAATCTACCAAATATGCTTTGAGGTAAATTACTTCATTTCACCTTTATCCAGTTTCCTCACATATAAACAAGGGATATATACCTACCAAGTTGGGTTTTGATAAAGATCAGAAGTAAAGAATTCATAGCATTTGCAAAGTACCTTATGTAAGCACTTAAATATATGGCAGCTAATAACATTGTTCCCATAGTTTGAGACTGTATTTCCTTATGTCCTTCCCTTATTCATACCACAGATATTTAGTAACTGGTGTCTGTATGTCAGGTCTTTCTTAGTGAGCCCTACCTAAATTTTTCCTTCTCATAACCTTATTTGCTACCTGCTATTACCATCTCTATTTATTCTTTGTGAACAGCACTTTTAATGCCAGCATAATATTCTACCACATCTATTTTGACTCATGCCCCTGGTCTCCCTTCTGAGGTACAGACCCACACAACTGCCTGGAGGTCCCCCAGGAATCTCAACGGGATGTTTGGCCAATTAGCCCAGCGCCTAGCACCTAGTAAAACCTTCCATAAAAATAAGCTATTACTGGCCATTACTGTCACCTTTAGTCCCTGCCTTCTGATCCACCTCCTCATGCTACTCCTTCCTAAAGTCACTTATTTTCTGCCAGCAATCTTGGCCCTGGGTTAAAGCCCTGATTAGTCATCCCTATGGGGAGCCTATAGGAGAATCCAGCCTGGTTTTCCCACCTGCAGGGACGAACCAAAGCAATGAAAATAAAGACAATCCCACGCTAAGCCCACAGTGCCCTAAACAATCAGTTTGGTGGGGAAATTTGCTAGCAGTTGGCAGGACATAAAGTTCCCCCAAAGCAGCCTGGCAGCCTTGCTGGGTGTGCCAGCCAATGATTCCTGGGGCCTGGCGGGTGCTTCACAGGCACCGCAGGGGCCCACAGGGAAGAGCTAATTTATGCTATTAGTATAGTTATAGCAACAGCCTCCGCTGAGTGCTCTCGAACTGTAGTTCACCATCTCGGGGCTGAAACAGGCAATTTAGAAGCCACCAATGGTTTTTCCAGTAGTCATGCACAGCTGTCAGAGTTGGACCATACAGAAAGCTAAGAGCCAAAGAACTGATGCTTTAGAACCGTGGTGCTGGAGAAGACTCTTGAGAGTCCTTGGACAGCAAGGAGATCAAACCAGTCAATCCTAAAGGAAATTGACCCTGAATAGTCATTGGAAAAACTGATGCTGAAGCACCAATACTTTGGCCACCTGATGTGAACAGCCAACTCACTGGAAAAGATCCCGATGCTGGGAAAAGTTGAGGGCAGGAGAAGTGGGCAGCAGAGGATGAGATGGTTGGATGGCATCACTGACTCAAGGGATGTGAATCTGAGCAAACTCCAGGAGAGAGTGAAGGACAGGGAAGCCTGATGTGCTGTAGTCTGTGGGGTCACAGCGTTGGACAAGACTTAGCGACTGAACAACAACAGCCAGGGGAGGAGAGGAGAGTAAAAGTCCTGCAGCCTCTGGGGGGACAGGCTTGGGTTTGAGTTCCAGCTTTACCTCTCACTGTGTGTATGATAGCCAGCAAGTAACTCTGTCATGCGGAGTTTCTGTTTCTCCACCTGTAGGGTGGAGGTGATGCTAAAGGCTAACATTTGTGGAATGTGTCTCCTTCAGCCATTCAGGTATCCAACCATTAAGTCTCATTTTAAAATTGAACATTTTTTTAAATTAAGAAAATTATATTCCATCTCTCTCACACACACACATCCATATAACCCTTGATGACGTTAAAACATAATATATGTTTATGATCCAAAACTGGAAATCACAGTAAAAAATGAAAAATGCTTTCTTTTTGCTTTAGTTTGGCTACACCCCAGCAGCCTGCAGGATATTAGTTCCCTGACCAGGTACTGAACTCCCACAGTGAAAGCCCATAATCCCAACCACTAGACTGCCAGGGAATTCCCCCAGAATACTTTCATTGCGTGGGGGGTGGAAAGTATCTACAAAAAGAGCAATTTCATAGGATTCGACCTAAAATGACCAGCCACGTTCTCAAGCTTTATATGCCTCAACAATCCCGTGGGGGTAGGGACAATTATTACCCACCTTCCTCCATGGGGTCTCAAAGACTCCGACACGACTTAGCGACTAAACAACTACGATAACCCTCGGTAATAATTAGAATTTCTCCCTAAAAAGAAGCAGAAGGATTTCGGGGAGAAGGGAGGGCAGGGTGGGTAAGCGCTGGCTACCTAAATGGCCTCCACAAGTGATTTGAGTGTTTGAGAAACGCAGAAGTCAGCACACGTAACTAATTAAGGGCTCAATAGGCTTATCCACCCAGTGTCCGAAACACGATCCCCTGGGGCGCCACACGTGGCGCCGACTTGGTCCTAAAGGCAGCCCCTCACGGGAACAGGGGGTGACGCGTCTCCCGCGCCCGGGTACCAGCCTCTACGTGTTTCCCCGGGAAAGGGTCGGCGGGGCTCAGCCACCTCAACCAGTCTTGCTAGAGTAGGCGTACCCCTCACAAAACAAAAGCGTTCGGAGTGACTGCCACCGCAGCCACTCAACGGCGAGCTCAAGCCCGCGCCTCCAGTTAGATCTGAACTTCCGATTGGTGAAGTGCTGCCGGGGAGGGTGGGACACAGCGGGAAAGTCCCGTCTCCCTCGGAGCGCTCAGCCAACCGTGGTATGCGGGCGGCAGCCGCCGGGTTTGGTTGCGTCGTGTGTAGCGATCTTGGGGGCCCGAGGGCGGGGCGGGGAGCAGGCCGGGGGCTGCGGGGAGGGGACGCTTCCCGCGGGCGCGCGGAGTGAGGACGGTGACAGCCACGCGCGCACGTGCGCGCCCGGCTGCAGCGCGGCCCTGAGACCTCCGTCGGCCGCTGAGAGGCGCGCGGGCTCTAGGCAGCCGCCGTCTAGGGGCCCCGTCCGCGGGCGTTCCCAGCGTCCCCGGCCCGAGTCCCGGAGAGCCGGGCCGTGCCCGCCCCGTCGGTCCCCGATCGCGATCCTTGCCCGGGGCCGTCAGGGTCCGCCCCCGGGACTCCCCTTTCCGTTCCTGGGCAGGGTCCTCGCGGCCCATGCTGGCCGCTGGGGGCCCGCGCCGCTCAGACATCTCCCGGGCCGGCCGGCCGGCCACCATGGTGGCCCTGAGGCCTGTGCGCCTCCTCCAGGGAGGCTAAAAGGTCCCGAGCGCAGGCCTCGGGGCGCGAGGGTCCTGCGCCTGAGTCCCGCGCCATGGCCGGGGCCATCGCTTCCCGAATGAGCTTCAGCTCGCTCAAGAGGAAGCAGCCTAAGACATTCACCGTGCGGATCGTCACCATGGACGCGGAGATGGAGTTCAATTGCGAGGTAACTGGCCGGCAGCCCCGACGGGCTGCGGCGAAGGGCAGCCCTTTGGGATCCGGCCGTGGTTTGGGTCCGGCACCGACCCGGGCGCCCTTGCCGGGGTGACAGTCAAGGTGGAAGCTTTGGGATTCTGTTTATATCATCTCTGGGAAAATATAGAGTCGGCCAGATCCGGAAGGGGCCATCTAGGCCCAAATCCTCACGTTAGAGATAATTACTGCTTTTTTTCAATGGGGCTTTCGGGTTTGGAAGCACTTCCTGAAGGTTTTCATTCATTGCTACTGCATAAGTCTGAAAGCATCCGTGGTAGCGAATTCTAGTTCTCAGTGTCACGCTTAAGCTCCGGCTCTTTCGAGTTTCAACTTTATAAGATGATATAATAAACCATAGGTGTTAAAAGTTGCATCTCATTGGGAAAGTGTATATTGTTTCCCTTTTTCACAGCCTAACTTTTCTAGAGAAAATTCTTTGAGGAAAGTGATGGTATCTTAAACTTTCCATACAGTTTCTGTCCTGTAACAGGTATCATTTATTGAATACTTAAGTGTCTGACATTCATTCACTTAATTCTCCAAACAACTCAGTTTAACCCCTCTGGAAATTGTCCTAAGGGCAAGCAAGCATCAAGTGAAAAAACATCTACTCAAGAAAATCTATGAAAATTCGGTAAGAAAGGCAAGAGTTTGTGGTATTTGTTTTTGTTTTGGCCTGGAGGCATGACTTATCTTAGTTCCCCAACTGGGAGTCCACGCCCCCTGCAGTGAAAGAGCAGAGTCTTAACCACTGGACCACAGGGAAAGTCCCAGGAGTTTGTGGTATTAATATTTGAACCAAGACCACTGCCACCGTCCTGCTCTCAGGTCTGGACGGCTGCAACCCAGGACACTGGGCTCCCTCCACTCCCTAGCTCCCAGTCCGACAGCTTTCTTCCCAGAGGAGCATTACTTTAGGGCTTCTCCTGTCCAAGGCTGCTTCATACTGAGGCTCAGTCCTGTGTACTCTGGGTGTTGCTCACTGAGAATAGTGGATTCCCAGTGGTTCTGTCCCCATGGGTGGTACCAACCAAGAGAGACGAACTGAGATGACTTCAAACTGACCCCTGCGGAACTTCTATCAAGAGCTCAGAGATTTTGCCAGGAGGGAGAAGCAGGCTTTAAGACCCTTAGCTTCTGATCTCTTCCCAAAAGCATTGACTTCATTTTCAGTAGAGACTGGAGAATTTGTCTAAGGGTGCTCTCTAGAACTGTGAATGTTTTGGTGAAAGGCAATTGGAAGGAGATTTGTGGATTTAATGAAGATACCACTGTAGGCAGCTAGTTTGCAGGAGAGTAAGACAGCTGGGAAGAGCCCTCTTGGTCAGAAAAAATGTCAGACACTGATCTCAGAAATGGTTCTTTCAGAAGAGCCATTCAGAATCAAAATCCTTTTGATTGGATTACTTTGTAGAACAAGTTATGCTCTAGGGTATTGTTGGAAATAATAGAGCAATATATCACAGTTGTGGAGTGTAACAGTTGGGTGCTTCCCTGGTGGCTCAGAATCTGCTTGTAGTGAGGGAGACCTGGATTTGATCCTGGCATTGGGAAGATATCCTGGAGAAGGGAACGGCTACCCAATCCAGTATTCTTGCCTGGAGAATCCCATGGACAGAGGACCCTGGCTCTCCTAGGGGTCATAAAGAGTGGGACATGACTGAGCCACTAACACTTTCACTTTCAACAGTTGGGTGTGACCAGGGAAAGAGAGGAAACGTGTCCTACTAAGATCATTGTCATCTTGGGTGACTTTGGGCATACCCAAAGATACGGCTCCCTGAGGAGCAACAACATAGGCTTTAACACCATGAGAAGGAAATAGATTTCATTAGAACAGTCCAGGCTGTTACTCAACAGCAAGCAAATAACAACATGCCCAGGGTGAGGGTGGAGAACCACTCCCTAGAGGTGCTATAAATATGTTCACAGAACTAAAGGAAAACATGATTAAAGGTATAATGATATTTTTGCATCAACTAGAGAATATTAATAGATTGTTGTTGTTTACTGGCTAATTCGTGACTGACTCTTTTTGCGACCCCATGGACTATAGCCCGCCAGGCTCCTCTGTCCATGGCATTTCTCAGGCGAGAATACTGGAGTGGGTTGCCATTTCCTTCTCCAGGGGATCTTCCCAGCCCAGGGATCAAACCCAGGTCTCCTGCATTAGCAGGCAGATTCTTTACCACTGAGCCACCAGGGAAGCCCAATAAAAGAGATAGGAATTATGAAAAGAGCCAAATTAAAATCCTGGAGTTGGGAAATACAATGACTGAAATAAATTCATTAGAGGGGCTTAAAGTACATTCCAACTGGCAGAGGAAATAATTAGTATACTTGAAGATTGATTGATGGAGATTATGGAAGCTGAAGAGTAAAGAGAAAAAGAATGAAGAAAAATGTACTGAGCCTCAGAGAAATGTGAGGATCATTCAGTGCATCAACATATATGTAATGCAACTACCAGAAGGAGATGAGTGAGAAAAAATATTCCCCCCAAATTGGCTGGAACTTCCTAAATTAATTGAAAAAGAATAACCAGTATATTCAAGAAGCTCAGTGACCTCAAAGGAGGACAAATACAGAGATTCACAGACACATCATGGTAAAAATGCTGAAAGTCAGACAAGGAGAAGATCCTGAAAGCAGCACGAGAAAAACGACTTGGCACTTTTAAGGGAACCCCAGTAAGATTAACAGCTAACTTCTTAGCAGAAGCTATGGAGGCCAGAGGCAGTGGTATGTTTCAAGTGCTCAAAGAAAAAAGCTTGTAAACTAAGAATTCTATATCCAACATAGCTGGCTATAAATGAAACGGACCTTTCAAAAATAAAGTTAAAATAAAGACTTTTCCAGATAAACAAAACCAGAATTTGTTGTTTTGAGACCCACCTTACAAGAAATATTAAAGGAAGTTCTTCAGGCTGAAAGCAAGTAATTGAAGATAGCAAGTAATAAAAGATAGTAATTCAAATCCAAATGAAAGACATCAAGGAGCACCCGTAAAGGTAATTAAAGAATTGTAAAAGACAGTATAAATATATTTTTCTCCTTTCTACTTTTAAGTGACATAAGATGCAATTGTATAAAGTAATTTTGTATATAATATACAGTGCTATTTGTATATAATGTACTGTTGGACCTATAACAGAAATGCATGACACAACAAAGATCCCATGTGCTGCAAATAAGACCCAATGTAGCCAAATAAATTAATTAATTTAAAAGTAAAAATGATATGGAAATTCTGCATTTAAAAAATTAAATGTAATTCTGTACGTCTGCAATGAACAATCTGAAAATGAAATTAAGAAATGCTATTTATAATAGCATCAAAAAGTATAAAATAGGGACTTCCCTGGTGGTCCAGTGGCTAAGACATCATGCTCCCAGTGTAGGGGGCCCAGGTTCGATCCATCGTCAGGGAACTAGATCCCATATGCCACAACAAAGACTGGGTACAGCCAAATAAATACATAAATATGTATTTTAAAGTATAAAATATTTAGGAATAAATATAACAAAAGAAGTGTAAAACTGATAGTCTGGGACTTCCCTGGTGGTCCAGTGGTTAAGACTTCCAGCTTCCACTGCAGGGGACACAGATTTGATTCCTGGTTGGGGAACTAAGATCCTGCGTGCCATGCCGAGCAGCGTGGTGGGGGAAGGGGAAAAAAAAGCAGCCTTTCTTGAAATGAAAAATAATGGATATGGCTTTTTTTCCAATGAAATTTTCTTGATGGACATTGAGATTTTAGTTTCATATAATTTTAACAAGTGAGGAAATGTTATTACATTTGTTTTTAATCACTTAAAAATGTAAAACTTGTTCTTAGCTCTCAGACTGCACAGAAACAGTCAGTGGGTTGGACTTGTCATGTGAGCTATAGTTTACTGATCCCTGATTGAAGTTACTGTTTGGTACCTGTTATGAGAGCCTGACCCACAGGGACAGAAATTTTTAGTGACATTCCTTCAGTCATAATTTTGCAGTGAAAAGCTGTTAGTTTTTCTTCTTTAAACAGACCCCAGGCCCAGGGAGGATGGACAATACTAGCGGTAATCTCAGGGTTTCTCAACCTTGGCACTGTTGGCCTTTTGGCTGGAGCGTTCTTTGTGGTGGGGCCTGTGCCGTGCACTGCGTGGCGTATAGATAGCATCTCTGGCTTCTGCCCCCCAGAAGACAGTAGCATACCTGCCTTGCCCGAGTTATGACAACAAAAAACGTCTTCAGGGATGTCCTGGTGGTCCAGTGGATGAGAATCCGCCTTCCAGTGCAGGGGACACAGGTTCGATCCCTGGGCCTGGAACTAAGATCCCGTGTGGCACCGGGTAACTAAGCCCGAGCACCAAAATTACTGGGCCTGTGAGCCCTGGAACCCGTGCTGTACAAGAGAAGCCACGCCAATGAGAAGCCTGCAGAGTTTCAGTCATTGGACCACCGGGGAAGTCCTGAGAATTATGCATTTTTCACAGACTGTCTAGTGATGCCAATGCTGCTGGTCCAATGTGTTAGTCGCTCAGTTGTGTCTGGCTCTTTGTGACCACATGGCCTATAGCCCACCAGGCTCCTCTGTCCATGGAATTCTTCAGACAAGAATACTGGAGTGAGTTGCTTTTTCCTTCTCGAGGGGATCTTCCCGACCCCGGGATCAAACCTGGGCTCCCACATTGCAGGCAGATTGTTTACTGCCTGAGCCACCAGGGAAGCCACACTAAACGAACGAAGCAGTGGTAGAAAGTGCGCGGACTTTGAGACAAGACACACACCCATTTGAATTCCAGCTAAACTACTTACAGCTTGGATAAGATACTCGGACAATCCAGACCTCAGTTTGCACATCAGTACAATGGAACTAATATTACTGACCCTGCAAGATTGTTACAAGGACCCATGGAATGCTTAGTGCTGGGCAGGAAGGACAGGACTCTAGTCATCCTGAAACACAAGGCTTGGGTCCCTGTGGG